TATAAATACATTGCAAGCGGCATTAGAAAAAGATGGAGACAATGTTGAAGGCAATCAACAAACTAATGGAGAAAATGAAACTTATATATTAAATAACCAAGAGCCGGATCTCATAGCAAATAGGCATGAAATCGAAAACGGTGAAGAACAACAATCTCAAGACAATCCTGATCCAAATATGGAAAACGCGTCTGAGGAAACCAATCAAACTGAAGAAGGTGCAGATGTGTTTGATCAAGGTAGCTCAAACTTTGACAGCAATTGCAATCAAGCTGAAGCATTCAGTGATAATCAGCTATCACGAGATCAATTAGTACAAAATAGCGAAAACAGGAATCTAGTAGATAGCAACAGCCAGCTAGCTCAAGATACAACTAATCAAGATGTTGAGCCTAATGACGACGATCCACCCGAACTAAATGAAAACATGCAAGATTTATCTATCGATGACAATCAGTCACGGAATGCTGAGTCTATAAATGGTAGAGAGAATGACATTGAAAATTCTGAGCATAGTATTATAGAGAGAGAAAGACCTGAAATTAATGCTAATAATGATATACTAAGCTCAGTCTTGACCAGTACTGAAGGAGAAGATGAAGAAGTTTTCGATTTTGCAGAGTTAAAGTTAAGACCAGTTCCTGTTTGGGTTTCTTGTGGTGAACCATTTATTAATCCAGCAGGTATTTACAAAATATATAAATCAGGCTCAGAATTTTCTCAAAAATAGCATGTAAATTTTTAATTCAGATAATTTTCCTATAATTTAACATTACTGCAATTACTGCCACGATTGAAATGATTATAAACTAAGACTGGAACTTCTAGGAGAAGTCCCTGATGAAGATATTGCTCAGTTCCTTTTTCTATCACTTACGAGAAAGTAAAAGTCACTACATGATAATTTACTTCCGATATAGTAGCTGTAGATGTAATTAAGTTAAATTGATTAAAACGGCAAGTATTTCGTTTAGTATTAAGACTTTGCTCCCGATTTTTCTGTTATTCTAGATGTTATTAGCAACCAACAAAATGTAAAAAAGAATCGAGATAAAATCAGCCACGCAGAGCTATTATTGCAACAAACTAAACATCGCCTACGACAAGTTAGAGGACAGATGCAAACTGGTGATGAATCTAGCGTACAGACGGTTAGCGGCAGCAATAAAAAATCTGCCAGTTCTAATCGGATATTAGAAAAACGATTGAGTAGAAACATCAATAAACTTCAAGCCCATCTAGAACAAGAAAAGGCATCACAACTTCAAAGTACTACAGCTATTACTGCTAATAAAGTGAATAAATCAGCTGAAGCCATGAGCCGACGATTATATTTACAGCATAAAACCATCAGAGTAGCTGCTTACCTGAATGGTACCGATCCTAAAAAGACAACATTTATATTTGGATCCACCCTAGATGAGCTACTAACCGATGCTACTGGCCGCTTAAGCATAGCCTCAGCAGCAAGGAAGTTATATGATGGAGACGGCAAAATAATAAAATATTTTAATGATATCCAACGTGACCAGCTTGTTTGCATATCATGTGGTGAACATTATATTACTCTGCAAGAGAAATTGCATAATATTGAAGCTAAAGCGCAATGGGTAAGGTCACGACGACCTGACAAGGAACGTATTAAGCAAAGTTTAATTAAAGCGTCGTTAATATCGGAAACTACTGATAAGAAAAACTAAGTCCTTGAATAATGTCACAGCTATGGATGATAATAATAATACTTTCCAATTAGCACTAATGATTACCTTGAAGTGGCAACAGCAGCGTTACTAACTTTTTTATTATTAAATTACAAATTGATCTTTGATTAGTAGAGTGGCAATTTAGGAGATATTTATTAGATTTAATCACGATGTAAAAATATTTTTTCTTTCGATCTTTAATGATGATATTTGCTAGACCAGAAAATTGTTTAAGTATAAATGTGGCTTTATCGTAAATGATTTCACTTACAAACTGTATTTGTACCCAATGCAATAGTTTAATAGCGTAAATCTCAGAAAGATCATTAGCATAACTATTGAAATAATATTGCCTGTCGAGTTGATTGGCATAAATATCTATAAAGTTAATATACAATAATTAAACCCCTTTCTATAGGTAACAACGTTTATATTTAGTGTATCATATCGACTTTAGTTAATTTAAATAGGAAGTATGGCGGTAACCATAAAATATCCTAATATTGGATACCTAGCCAAGCTTAGAGGTATATCTCTGTTGATATCTTCAAATATATCTCATTTAGTGCGGAACATTGGCAGCAATCCGAAGCGCTTGAAAATGAAAACTTCCTTATCTAATACACTTTGAACTTAAGCCAAAAATTCCTGTCAGAACCACAGCATATATATGCAAAAGTTAAAGGGAAGTCTTTAAAAACTTGTTTACTTTAATGATCTCATAAAATATTTCAGTTGATGAATGTAAAAGCAGAATCACTATTTAAATACTGGATCTTATAATCTTTAATCGATTAATTTTATAGCTATACCGATAATCGATGTTGCCATTATATTGGCATCTAATTTATTATTGTAATAGACAGAGTAGCTTTTTTGCCTACGACATCATTTTGAGAATGGAATGCCATATACAGAAATGCTAGTTAATTTTAAGATCTTGCCTATCGATAGTACTTCTTAATATTCAACATACTGAAATATTATGAGTACATAAATATCAATAAATTATTCTCTCGTGCAGTATTGATTTTACTTATTCAGATATCAAAAATTTATTAGTCTTTATTTCAAAATGCCACCCATCATCCCTCGAATAGCAGCGCGGGGTATTTATACTACTGTTAGATTACTCTGATTATGGGTTCATTTCAATAGGTCAGTATAACATTCTTACAGTACTTTTTACCTCAAGATTTCTTCATGTAAAACGAATAGCTCTAAGGTAGTAATTTCTACAGAGTATTGATTTTTGAAATAGTATTCGTTATATCGCTAAGTGTGGTCACTGGGCCTTTCAATTTTGATTTGATGTAATACTCTGATGAAAATTGAATAAACATAGAATCTTTATAGAGTTTTCTACTCAGCCATTTTGATTATTGCATTTTCTTATAACGGTTGTTATCGACAGAGCAACTTTGCTTGCATACGCAAGCAATCCTTGGACACATTATAAAGATTGGTATAGAATTGACCACATTACTAAGGACATTGTACCGCACTGTAGATATCTTACAGTACCTGCTAATCTTAACTTGGCATGTCCATCACCGTACAGTACATTAGAAATCATGATGTGCTTTAGACCATTAACTAGTTTTAATATAGCATAGTACATTACTATTACCGGGATATATATAATATCGAATGATAATACTACCTGTTAATTTTATTAAAAAATTGAGCATAAACGTATATTTGACAGTTTCGCTTACCAACCTTAACATAGCGTTAATACTGCTTATAGTAACCATCCTTATTCGGTAAACATACTAATACATTTACTTAAGGAAATTTAAATTGGTATAGAAAAGAATGATCTCTAGGGTTTATGTAAATATTATTGAGAGGGTAAAAGTGATTGATACACATCAGTAGGTACTATTAGTTCTATTGCTCTCATGCATTTCGTAGTGTTAGCCTACTGTAATTCCCCAGTCCCAGTTATTTTTGATTGCTATATATCATATAACAAAAGTGTTTCTAAGAGGATAATGTTAGTTAGTCAGCGATCTGATAGGCGAAAGCGAAGTGAACAACGTGGAAATGCACGATCAGAACGTACATTAAATCAATCTGTTTTAAATATAGTAGTACCCGGCTATTACCAGGATATATATAATGTCGAATGGTAATACTATCTGTTAATTATTAACAAATGGGTACATTATCGTAAACCGTCAGCAAAGCGATGGGAGTTTGGACTAGTACTAATGAAAGTAAAGTACCTAGTCGAGCGAAACGATTTAATTTAAGACAGAAATACTTGATCTAGGGTAAGCTCACTGTATCACCATGGGATATATGTTTCGGATAATTGTACCCTGTGAAAAAAATTTACAAATACTACCTTATTTAGGAAAAAGCAACCATCACCTATACGATACCGTACCGTATTAAACTCGAGTACGATTATATAGTAGGTACATCAATATTAACTTGTTGCCTACAATCTGAAGTTTAATGCTAATTTTTAGTTTCAACTCCGTATTTACATGGCACAACTACTTTTAGCTATTTTCGATTAGTTCTAAAATCCAATACTCTGGTAGTGCATAATAATATCATGAGATTGAATGAGCTATCGTTGAAATTGACACTTAAGACTAGTTAACTGAAATTCTCACGAGCAATGACCTAGAAGCTGATTTACTATTAACATAGTATCTTGTTATTATGAAAGATATTTGTTTGTAGGGTTCCACTTCTATATAATAAAGCAGCTAAGACACCTTGATGTTATACACTGGTTTTATTCCGTAGATCCACCGTTGTGTTTACTCAATTACTTTGCAGATATATAAGCAAATAATATAATAAAATAGATGCTGATTTTCTATCAAAGGATTATAATCAAAATATTTACTCTAAAGCAATAAATCATCGTGGCAGTTGATACTGTCTGTATTTCATATATGTTTTACGATAGCAGAATATTAATACCCAAGAATCAATGAAAACATTTCTCCAGATCAATAATGTTCTACAAACTGATGGCCAAATCTCTAGGTTTGACGTTACATTTTGCAACTTGCTGCATATAAAATCGATTTTGAAGCTGTTTAATTAAAATTGACGAGTACAAAAGCAATAAAATGTTGAATTTCTTCAATACATAGATCTAACGGTAGTTGTAGCTGAGGACCGAATGTTAGTGTTATTTCAGTATTGTGTTAGCATCGGCTATCATCTTCACGTTATATCAAAGCTATCAATTCAGATTTAAAGATTCTTCGCAATTAATGTCTATGTAAATAGCTATAATTAAAATTTCCTAATAAATATAAAAATAAGTTACAAATCATGCAGAAGATGTAAGATTGCTTTTGCGATATGACGTGCATGAAATTTTTGAATATAGTGACCACTGCTACGAAATACCAACTGTCGAGACTTGCCAGTTGCTACATCGTACGCCAAATGCGGGTTCTCATTACCTACAAAACCATGTCATAGAAAGTTACTTCAGGTAGTAATTCCATTGAATAAGTAATAGTTGATATAATGTTGCATATGTAATTGCACGTCAGGAGCAAAAGCATATACGAGAAAAAGTACGCTGGTTACTCCTAATAAACCATAGTCAAATGTTTTGTACAGCTATCGGTAAATAAAAACTATCACCACAAATATTAACGAATGATAATGAAAATTTATAAGCAGACTATCTAATTATGTCATAATTTATCTAGTTCGTCACGTTCTATGTTAGCATATTACATATTTACAATAATTAAATTCGTTTAGTTAATGCAATAAGAGACTACCTTGGTCGTTAGTAAGAGCCAACATCTCGGAAAGTGTTCTTAAACCAAGAACGGAAGACATTTCGTCAAAAATTGCATGTTCTACCATATGATCATTAAGCCCAAATCCTAAAATGACCGGTGTTTTCTGATCACCAAGTAATTTTAGATTTTTGGCGTTAAAGTCAAAATCCATTGCCCCACATAGTCGTTGGCTATTTTCGATCTCATTTTTAACTAATTTGTCCAATTTGAAACCTAAAAACTTACTATACACTAATCTTAATAAAGCACCAGACGGTTTATCAATCACCGGTAAGTTTACCATATTCGCAAACAGTTTTATTACTATAAGATGAGGAAAGCAGAGGGAATATACAAATATACGGTTAAAAGTGGGGTTGATTAATATGCGATTAATTTCTTACTATAGTGTCTTAAATTTTGCTAAGGTAATTTCAAAACTAGGTACCGTAACTACTTTCGAGAATCCATACAAGCGCAATCTACTGAACTACATTTATGCTGGGGGTACTGAATCGAATATGCTTTCCTTACTTGGAAAAGGACGTAAAGATCGATGTGGCCTGGTACCACAGCTGGCTAAGAGAGCATACGATGAAACGAATCCGGGATGCGTAGAGGGAAATGAGGTAATAGCACCACAACCCATGCTATGTCCTATAGCTATATCAACCTTTTTAATTCCAATGCTTTCTAAAAGCTCGGCCATGAAATTTGCTTTATTCACTGGCGAATATATGAAATCAGGAGGTTTGATAGTGGGTCCAAAACCTGGTAAATTAATTCGGATCACTCTAACACCAGCCTCTGATAAGAGAGGCGCCATATAACGAAAATCATAATGGCTTCCTTGATAGATAGATATTAGACAATCAGAGATTATCGCCGTATTTAAAAGTCGTTAGTTTAACAAACAGACCATAGACATTAATTCTTTAATCTTTAGAAGACTAAGCAGTTTAAGCACAACGTGGGAATTCTAGTTACATCAAGACAATATACTAAGCTGGAACTTGGTCGAAATCAGTATGACATGACTATTACTACAGTATTAAGGTTGCCTTGGGGATATTTTCTAGCCATATACAGTAGAAAGGTAGCATAGCAATAGTTCTGGTTAATATCGTTTAGTGAATAGCATTGGAAATTTCGGAATTATTCAGGGTAGTATCTGTATTATCCGTCAATTCTCCCAGGTTAGACCGACATTAGCTATTCAATTGTCGAAGCTACTCGGACAATTCCGATGCTATTTCATTACTCCGACATGAGACTTAAAACGAATCTACGGTAGAAAATGATTCCACATGAACAAGGGATTTCAACTGATCCGTTCGCTGCAGCCTCAACGTAGATCTTTCTATGCCAAAATACAGTAAGCGTTCAACATTCTTTTATTTCAGCGATATCGACAGTCATTTTAGCTGCAGCATTCCGCTAGTGGGCATTGCAAAATACTCCCTGAAAGACATTAGTATTTAATGTGTACTTGGGGCAAAGCACTAACTATAACTAATCCAAATTAGTAAGCTCACTTCTATTCTTTCATAATATTTCCAGAACTGTATACAATTCATTATAAAACATGCTCTAAAATATTCTCATATTACCATGAGAAATATTTTAAGAACTGAAGATGCAGTAAGTGCAATGAATGGATTTTAGTTAGTTACCGTACCTAAGAGGACTTTACAATAAGTCAATTACCGTGTATCCTCAACTAATATTATAGAAGCAGAACGCTGGTCTTTCATGATATTGAACTGTAAAGAATTTAGATAATGCAAACAGAGTAGATTCTTTCAATCTATGTCGTCATCATTATACTGCCGTGGTGGAATAGCCTTTGTCATTAGGTTGGACTACTTTGACAGTATTCTGGATGCAAACCTATCCAGAAACTTTCAATGTCGTAGTAAAGTGCTTTACACATCGAGGGAGATTTCTCATGCTCAATTCACTTCATTTTATCATCTGTTCATGACCAATAATTTGGAATAGAAAGATAGCACTAACAAGAATACTAATTGACTTTATGGAATTGTTTCTCACTTCTATAACCCTTTTAAATAGGTCAAATTTGAACAATTTACCTGGTGAACCGTGGACAGCAATAGCAATAGCTGATCCAGTAGGATTTTCATCGGTATAGCTAGCTTTAATATAGTCCACACTTGTTACACCTAAATTCTTAGTTTGAACATTAACATATTGAACTTCTGGATCAATTGGAGTTGGCAAGTCAATTTGTCCTCGTCTATCTTCTGGATTCCATCTGCAGGCATCAATGGATATGTGTCGAACACATTGATGAATTGGACTAGCTTTCCTGATCAATCCATGTTGTAAATGCGAGTAGCCATCTCGAACACTTGCCGGCACTCTCAGCCTCTTCCAAAGCCTTGCAATATGCATTTGACACGATCCAGTCACTACTATACACTTACTCCAACCTGGTAAAAAGGCATCTAAACGCGTAAATCTCAGATTCTTGTCAGATAACTATTATGGTTCCCTTTAAGCCAGCATTACCATGACCTAGCTTTGAGAAGTGGGCGATGCCTGAAGTTAGGAGGGCTTGGAAATTGCTCTTGTTTAATTAAGGCTTACCAACTTAGTTATTCTGTATGATTTGATGGTGCTCTGTAATAGAAACGTCTGTATACCATAATGTGGCTTACTGGTATTCATATGCAGTGAGAGTGTTTATATAGGGATCCGTATGAAACAAAGCATAACATATTTTTACAACAATTTAATACTGTAAAAGGTGCAGTGCCAAGTTATTACGACAGCATGGCAAAGAGAACGATAGGATTTAGACCGCAAATAGTCAAAGTTACCCAGAATGGGTCAAGACTTCTCTATTAGCAGCTTTCCCCTTGATGATTTCGGATAACATCGGTACTATCTTGACTAAAATACTACTGGCGCTCAAAGCACGGTTATAACTCTTTTAACTGTGAATAGCTAAATTAGCCAAGCAACCTGGTTGCTGCTATTTCAAAGGAAGGAAAAGCTGTTAACCAAAATGATAGAAGTACATCAATGCATTTAAGGTTACACTTTGTACATTGGAAAGGAAATCACCAAGGCTGCCTACAGTGCTATCATAGTATGATAGTTAGGTATACACTACAGCCAAGCTAGAACTGATACATGTCTTCTGCTTATCTTCATTATACATGTACAGTACAGTACGGGTATATGTGTCACGGTCCATGTAAGGACCCGGGCATTCTATATTTGACATATACATTTGTTGATATAGTAATCTGTAGATGTTTATTTAGATTTGTTGACATATACATAAATATCATTGCAGATTATACTCCACGTATGCACAGTATACACCCTTGTGAGCGTAGGTTCTCTAGAATGTCGCTATAATTGCATAATATATCCAATCGCTTATTGAGGTATTATATCGTCGTATTTATGGATTCAATTCCTAGTTAAGCCTATTTATATTATTTAATATAAAACACAGATTTTTTAAATTATTCAGACAACTATTATTTAGGCGGATACCAATTTGTGCCGTCTATATTATGTCAACCAACAGTTAGGACGCGTTTAATATACAAATATAACTGCAAATCAACGTGCATTAGTCAGCTGGCGTGTTATTGCGAATCGATCAGCAAGCCGAAAACCGATACTCCAAGAAAAGTGTTCAAGATTAGTTCGCCATTCCTGCGATACACAATCGCATAATTGCATTACGAAACGATCAGAGAGGCTGTGGATATTTATGGATCACACTATTACAAATTAAAAAAATTGTTCATAACTTTAATAATTTTATACGATATTTACATTACTAAATAAAAAATTGTAACAGTAATATAGCACGCAATACATAGAATTCATAACTTATATGCAATATACAATGATAAAAGGTCTTTGCATACTTACTTTAACTGCTTCCAATTTATTCAGAATATCTAACATTGCTTTTCCAATATAATTTGCATGAAATTTTTGAAGGTAGTGACCACCTTTTTGGAAAACTAGTTGACGAGACATTCCAGTTGTTAAATCGTATCTGATATGAGGCATCTTATCAGCTATAACGTGCAATAAAAGTGATATAGTTCATTATATAATGCTAGCCTTACACGGATACATATTGCGGTTCGGTTTTACTGGTAGATGAAAAAAGTAAATAAATAATTTTGGATAGCAGATAGTAAGTTCAGCACGGAGTAATGTCAAGAACAAAAGCAGTAACTGTCAATACGAAAAAGGAACATACTTAGCGATACATATTATTACGATGATACTAAGTCATATATTATTTTAGCTCTTTCTAAAACAACGTATAAAATTTTACGTTTTACATAGGATTGATTCGATATAGTAATACCTCGCATTAAGTAAATCTGATAACGTAAAATAGCCACGGTCCTTGTTGACGTCATGTTAATATAATTCTAAATCTACATTGCGCTATACTGTTTGTATCATCTAGCAGGCTAGTAATAAAAGCAACTTTTGATAGAATCGTATAGTTCATCCGTTACAAATATTATACAGCTGACTAGAATCATAAATGTTGTAATTACTTTGAGCTTCCTCTAGACCATCCATTTCATCAAGAGTTCGCATGCCCAGGCATAACGATATTTCATTAAAGATTTCGTGCTCTATTAACTTATCATCAATTGAAAAGCCTAGCAATACTGGAATCTTCTTATCACCCATTAATTCAAGACATTTGGTATTCATATTAAAATCTACATTCGCACATAGTCGATGACTATTATCTATTTCATCTTTAACCGTTTTAGCTACGTTAAATCCGTACTTTGCATATCTTCTATTCACAATAACAGATGATAAACTTCCAAGCAGCGGTACATCCAATACTTTTGCCGTAGCTCGAGTCCCTAATTATAGTACTTTTATCAATTGACGATAGATAAATACCCAACAATAGGCTAAGAGCTAAACTAGATTACAATAATTAAATATATACTGTATATGTATACGCGATTGATAGCCTATGTTAAGTCATTTCAATTTTTATCAGTATTATTCCACATAAAGTATTGAAACAATATTTCAAGTATAGTATCCATAAGATTGATTGAAAATAGATAGATCATTTTTCACCAAATCAGATACTTACACATATACGGCCTCATTCCGATATTAGGCCTAGTTCCGCAACTAGCCAGTAGAGCATAAGATGCTACTAAATTTGGGTGAGTGCTAACTAAAGACGTAACGCAAGTACATCCTAAGCTATGTCCAATTGCCATACCAACTTTATTTATGCCAATCTTGTTTAATAAATTGCCAACAAAGTTAGCTTTATTAGTTGCGTTATATATAAAATCATATGGTTTAGGAGTAGGACCAAATCCAGGTAAATTAATCCGTATTATCCTAACGTTGGCATCGCGCAAAGGTGTAGCCAAGTAACGAAAATCAAAGTGGCTCCCTTAACCATAGAACAACAAAATGTAAAGGAAAATATGTTACTAAAATCGGAAAATTATCAGATAAAACATAGGAATAAATTGGTTATTAATGATCGATTGCCATATCCTGTAAACTCAGTATACTCTACTGTTTGGATGAAATATTAATGGTCAATAATTTTTATTAGTCAATATTGTACTACAGCGATATCGTTAGGTACTTATTGTATCATCGCTAAATTTAGATGCGATGTATTTGTACAATGCAGTAAAAGTACTAATTAGATTAGCTAACGCCCATAATATTTCGCTATTACGTAAATAGAACCTAAAGAGGAGGGTGGACTTCGTAAGCGTACAGACTAAGGTATAAAATGTAAAACGATATACGTATAGTGGATAGCAGCTTTATATTTAGCATACGAATTATTAATACAAGCACGGTGTATATCTTGCACAGAAAGCTGTATAAGGTATTTTATTCAGAACGAGCATAAAAACGGAAGTCTATATAACCCTACATGATTAGGGCATAATTACAGGCTATATGTAATTTATAGCACGCTAGCTAGCATTCGTTAACATTCTACTTAATGTTTCAATAGCATCACTTGAGTATGGCTATTTAGAAATACCGCGAAGTTATTGTAGCGTATGATCGGACGGGAATAGTCCGTTAATGAAATTTGGCAATAAGTTGAGATCAGTTGTCACTTGTCAAAAGCTAAATTCCGAGTACACTATAACTTTGCATTTTGATTATATAGTACTCTAAAATTAGGCCCTAGCTACCGAAACTTCGTTACTGTCCATATAGTGAGTAGTTTTCTGCAACTTAGAGTAGTGATCATATCACAATGCTAACATTTCATCAAATGGCTGATTATATAAATGAGCAATTACTATCAGACCTACTATGCTTACAAAATCTTTTGACAATTGTAGTAGCTTGAGCTAATTATAGTAGTAATTGAAGTACGGTAAGGAGTTGTAAAACCCAAGCACTACAACAATCTGAGCGATCCAACTACTATCGAGTACTGCTATTTACTGATATTATGACCGAGATATACGAGTATCATTTTACTGTAGTTTCCATACCAGGCCTTACGTTCATAGGATTTCCAATTTAAATATTAGAAAGAATAGCAGAATAGGTAGGCGTACGTGGAATATAGTCTGAATACGTAAACTGTACCGAATGAAATCATAATATACTCCAACTAAATTTCTTATCATATTTATCTAGACTGCTTTGCATATTAAAAATTATAATTTAGAATAACTACTGTGATATGCGCTGTGTAACTTTACAATATAAAGAGCTCTGCAGTTAACAAAATTTCTTAATCAAAGCTATATATTGTTTCCTTCGCCTGCACTATTAATATACCAGAGCCCAGCAGGCAATAAAGTTAACCGTAATAATTTTACCAATTAACATTTAAGCTACCTGGACATCCATGGACGGCAATGACAGTGGGTGACCCGTTCGGGTTTTCATCAGTGTAACCTGCTCTAATATGATCCACACTGCTAACATTTAAATTGTCAGTCTCAACGTTAACAAACTTTACCTCCGGATCGAAAGGTGCAGGAAGATCAAAAATTGGACTTTTAGTAGCTGATCGGTTGTGAGTAGCTGCTGATCCAACGAGATGTTCTACATTAGATTGTAATATAGCAGTTAAGTATCTGCGAATATCACTTATTTTCGAACTTTTGCTTAGTCTTAGCAGAAATCGCGATAAGTTTCTAGAATACATCGTTAAAGAGTATGGCATTCGTTCAATCTTATGCAACTATAAAATTAATAATGTACGAAAACCTCCAAGATCTCAGTTGGCAGGTTAGATACAGGCTTATAAACTTCGTAGAACTTAGCTTACAATGCCGAGAATAGACTGCATAAAAGTGCTGTCCTTATGTCTGTACTGTCTGAAAGAAGTAGTAAAATCAACTTAGTGACAACGCCTATGTAAGTTGCATACCAATTTACATCATATTGACAGGATATGCAATATAATAGTTAGATGGATTAATTTATAAGAGTATTAAAATAAAAATTTTCCGCGTTTAAAGAAATTTCATGGCAACATGCTTATATATCATAGCTATACAGTAACTATGTGTTATGTTTATGTTAATTATTTATGCCAAAATGGAATCACGGCTAAATTATACTTCGTACTCCTAATCAGTCAATTACTAGACGGTTGCAATTTAAATTAAATTAATACCATAATGAATAGTCAGAATCACTGTTACGAATATATAAGAAAATATTATGAAGGGAAAATTTGCTAAGATTAAGAGTAAGGCTGACGACAGATTGGTTTGATTCAGATAATAACATATCTCTTTAGATTTTGATGATTTCGGATAACGTCGGTGCGGTGCTGACTAAACTACTACTGGTGCCCAGAACACGGTCATAACTCTTTAATACTGAACTCCTCTGCTAAATTAACCAAACGACCTAATTCCTTCTATTTCAAAGAAGGAAAATCTAGAGCTAAATCGATGCGAGTACAGCAATACATTTAGACTTGCACTTCGTAGATCGGAAATAAAATCACAAAGACTGTTTACTACGGTACTATACTAGTATGATAGTTACGTATATACTACAGCTAAAGTATAGCTGGTAGCTATTAAACGCTAATAGGTAGTACTGCAAGTTTAGATCCAGTAGTTCTAGCATATTTCCATACTATTTCAACCTTCAGCTTTTTTTCTATTCTACAAGTACGCGTATATGCAAGTGTTGATATAATCTGTAGATGTTTATTTAGATTTGTTGACATATACATAAATATCATTGCAGATTATATTCCACGCATACACAGTATACGCCCGTGTATGCGCACATTCTCCAGAATATCATACATAGCGTGTCTAGTCGTTTAATGAGATATTATATCACCGTGTTTATGGATTTTAAGTCCGTGTTAAACTTTATTATTATATAACAACGATCTTCTAAATTATTTAAATAAAATTAGAACTAGCGAAACTAGTAGAAATTCTATGGAAATTTAGCAAAATTTTAAGTCAATAGAGTACAATATGATTTGATATTTAGGTGCGTACCGATTTGTATTGTCAATATTATGTCAATCAGCAATTGGGAAGTCTTTAATTTACGAATATGTCCGCAACTCGACGTTCATCAGTCAGTTAGCGTTTCATTGCGAGCCGAATAGCAAACTGAAAGCCGAAACTTTAATAAAGTATTTAAGCTTAGTTCACCATTCCTGCAATACATGCTCGTATAGTTGTACGAAACGTTCAGAGAGGTTATGGGTTTTATTGATCACGCTGCTATAAATTAAAAAAATTATTTATAATTTCAATAATTTTATCCGACATTTACATTACTAAATATCAATTTACCACCGTAAATTTGTAAGCACGCAATATATAGCTTTAGATATTTATCCATCTTTCATAACTTATATCTAATGTGCACTGATTAAAGGTCTTTGCATACTTACTTTAGTGCCGTCTATTTTATTCAGAATATCTAACATTGCTTTTCCAATATGATTTGCATGAAATTTTTGAGGGTAGTGACCACTGTTATGAAATACTAGTTGACGAGATATTCCAGTTGTCAAATCGTATGTGACATGAGGCATCTTGTCAGCTGTAATATGAAATAGAAATGATATAGTTCATTACATAATGGTAGTCTTGCGTAGGTACATATTACAGGCCACTTTGTAAGCAGATGAAAAAGCTAATAATAATATATATGTTATATATAATTTTCGATTGCAGGTCTCAAGCTCAGCACCGATTAATATTAGAAACGAAAGTATTCAATAGTTTTGCTGTAGCTTGAATCCCTAATCATAAGTGCAAATATCAATTAACGGTAGATAAATATCCTATAAGTGACTAAGGGCTAAGGTAGATTACAATAATTTAATATTGATATGAATATGTTAAATTATCTAAATTGTTGTTGATTTTATGACATGAAAAGAATTGAGACAATATTTCAAATATAGTGTCTATAAGGTTGATTGAAAATAGATAGATCATTTCACCAAATCAGATACCTACACATATACGGTCTTAGTCCAAAATGAGGCCTAGTTCCACAACTAGCTAGTAGAGCATAAGATGCAACCAAATTTGGATGTGTACTAACTAAAGAGGTTACACAAGCACATCCCATACTATGTCCAACTGCCATGCCAACTCTATTGATCCCAATATTGTTTAATAAATTGCCAACAAAGTTAGCTTTATTAACAGGCGTATATGTAAAATCATATGGTTTAGGAGTAGGACCAAATCCTGGTAAATTAATCCGTATTATCCTAACGCCAGCATCACGCAAAGGTGTAGCCAAGTAACGAAAATCATAGTGGCTTCCTTAATCATGGAACGATGAAATGTGAAGGAAAATATGTTATCGAAATTGGAAAAATATCCCCAAAATTGTAGAAATAACATAATTGCAAATCGGTTGCGTTATCCTGCAAAGTTCAGGATACACCACTATTTGGATGAGTATTCAAGATAGTTGCGACGTATTCATACAACGTAAAAGCACTCGTTACAATAGCCAATGTCTGTAAAATTTCACTGTTACTGATAGAATCTAAGGACGTGGATGGATTTCCTAAGCGCGCAGATTAAGTTACAGTATACAATAGAAATGATATACTTATAGTTGACAGCAGCTTTATATTTAGCATACGAATGAAATTAATACAAGCACAGTCTATACCTTGTAAGGAGCACTGTACAAGGCGCTTTATTCAGAACGAGTATAAAAACGGATGTTGTTGTAACTCAACAGGCTGAAATAGGGCATAATTAAAGAATATAGTAATTTACAGCGCAATAGTCTAACACTCAATAACCGAGTATTAGCGGTTTTAACGAGCGCTATTTGATTATGACCACTTGGAAATACTGTGAGATTATTGTAACTGACGATCGGACGGGCATAGTCCGTCAATAAATCTATCATTATTTAGTTATTAAGTTGAGATCAGTTATTATTTATCAAAAAAGAAATTTCTGAGAGCACTATGATTTTGTACGTTAATTAATTATAATAACTCCGGAATTAGGCATCAGTCACCTAACTTTATTACTGTGCAAACAGTAAGTAGTTTTCTGCAATTTAGAGTAGTGATCATATCTCAATGTTAACATTTCATCACGATGACTGATTATACAAATGAGCAATTACTATCAAACTGTGGACATCCAACTCCAACTATGGTAGATATATCAGCGTCAATGTTATTATGCTATCAAGTATTGGAAACGAATGTGTTTACCGTAATACTGCTTTATCATGTTAGTTTATCATAGTCTTATCAAACAAGTATGCAGTCCATATTTTAGTATTGTACCACAGTATTTCCAGGATATCTACAGTATATCACAGAGCAATCGTATGCAAACGTGTGTTGTCGTTGTTACCATCGTCTAATCATAGCTGGATATCTTCCACAGTTATCGATTTAATATAGTATTTTAAACTAATGGACATTGTCCATTTTTGCGAACTACCATAAACTACAACTATGCTTACAAAATCTCAAGGCAATCTGAGCGATCAAATTACTATCGAATAGGTATTGCCACATACTGATATTATGATCGAGATATACGAGTATCATTTCACTGCAGTTTCTTTGTCAGGCCTTTATTTCATAAGGCTATCAATTTAAACATGAGAAGGAATATCAAGAGTAGGAATACGTACAATACACTTCATCGAGTGAAATCACAAGTAAATAGTTTCCTCAATACTTTGATCTAGACTACTTTGCATATCATAAAAAGTTATAATTTAGAATAATTACTATGCTATATGATGTGCAAATTTACAACATAACGAGCTCTACAGTTAAAAAAATCTACCAATCGATCAAAACTACATGTTGCTTCGCTCTGCACTATTAACACGCTCGTACTTTGAGTTTATAAACCAGAGCCCAGAAAGGCAATAGCGTTAACTGTAATAGTACATTATGTTTGCAAACGATTTTATAAACAAAATTGCTATTCTACGACTAATAGTTTGTGCAGGAATTGAGCATACCTGGACATCCATGCACCGTAATGACAGTTGGTGACCCATTAGGATTTTCATCAGTGTAGCCTGCTCTAATATGATCCACACTGCTAACATTTAAATTACCAGTCTCAACGTCGACAAATTTTACCTCCGGATCGAAGGGCGTCGGTAAATCAAAATTTTGACTTTTAGTAGCTGCTAATCCAACGAGATGTTTAGCATTAAATTGTAATACGGCTGGTAAGTACCTACGAATATCACTTATTTTCGAACTTTTGCTTAACCTTGGTAGAAATCGCGATAAGTTTCCAGAATGCATCGCCAAAGAGTATCCATTCAAATGTTACGCAATTATAGCATTAAACTACAAAAAACTCCAAGATCTCAGTTGGCAGGTTGGATACAGGCTCATAAGTTTCGGAGGGATTACCTTACAATACAAGAACAGATTGTATAAAAGTGCTGTCCTTACTGTATGTCTGTACAGCTAGCAAGAAGTAGTCTATCGTGTTACTGGCAACGCCCATGTAAGTTGTACTGAAAGTAGTGTTTAGGACACCCAGTATACTTCAATAGTGTGATGGACTGATTTGATTTAGACAAGCACATCTCATCTGATTTGGGAAGATTGAAAGCAATTTATTAACTTTTTTAAAGTTGGTTAATTTCAGTAGTAGATCAGTTTATCAGTGTACGAGAATGCGCGATTCCGACACACTATCAGTATAAAGTCCCATTTCATACACTGACAAGTAGCAATGAATGCTATAGACATACGAGCTACTACTATTAGTTAGGTCCAGTCATGAGTATCGATAACTCTATAATCTTTACACTCTATCATATACCGCAGTAAATAAACCCATTCATTATAGTTTCGAATAGCAATAATAAGATATATTAATATAACCATGATATTGAATTATAAATAGTCCTTTTCTAGATATTTCTTCATAAATACTGATCATAAGTTCAATTTAATTTATTTAAAAGATCAAAACATAAATATGCCGTATCAAAGGGAATAACTAACAACCACAAAGCAAAGTATTTTTGCTTTATCTTTTTTCAATCTTGAGATAAATGCCATTTTGTGGGGATAGCGATCCTGCAGATTTGACCTGCAAAGGAATCTAGAGTTTGCAAACAAAACTGTTTAATTCAAAATGGCCAAAGCTATTACAAGCAAGTGTAAAATAAAAGAAGATAAATATGTTTCAGGGATGCAGAGGTATTGCAAGCTACCTGTGTTTCAGGACAAGTAACAAAGCGATATGCCATCAAAACTTTGACTAAACATAGTTTTATTTCCATTAAAGCAAATCTAGAACCAATGCAGGCTCGTGGACCAATACCGAATGGCAAATATGCATATGTATTTATGCTATTCTTTCTCTCTTCTGAAAATCTGATACAGAATCATAAAATAGAAACATTTATTTATCAACATTACCATGCATAGGTACGCTTTTAAAAATGAACATCCTCTTAAGTACAATAATTGAATAGACTTTTTAATTCAAATAGCGAAATATGTTTAAATTTGTTAGATTTAGCATTATTAATTTCTGCAGCTTCTATTAGCAGCAAAATTAAAAAGATTTAAGCTAACTACCACTAATCGATTGAAATAGTTTTAATAAAGTATACGTATGTAGCTACCTTTCAGGATCAAATTTCTCAGGCTCTTCCCAAAATTCTGGATCTCTATGCATTGCATAAGCAGGTATACCAATGGTCAAACCTTTCAAAAATTTTACTCCTTTTATAACGCAATCTTCTTTAATTTCTCGTCCGATTCTGTAGAGAAATTTTGGCCTTTAATAGCAGTATAATCCTTATTTTAGTACTTAACTAATACGATAAATTATTTACGACATCACTGGCGGATATAATCTTAGGCTTTCTGATATCACCATATCCAGATACGCCATCTTATACATAATAATATCGTAATCAATTTCCTTGGAATCCTATCGAATAATATGGATTAAGACTATTTAAATTTATGTTAAAAGAATTGGGCTTCAAAACCACCGAAATTTAGCCTAAAATGTTATCTTGTACCAAATGCCGGTAGTATATCTAACCGTTGAATTGTATGCACTTTCGATTTCATTTATTAGCTTATCTTGAACTTCTGGATGCAATGCTAGCAGGTACGCAATATACCCTAAAGCGTTATTAGTCGTTTCATAGCCAGCCAACAATACAGTAATGATCTGCCCAACAGCTTCATCATGGGTCAAGGAACCTTTTTTACTCTCATCAGAAGCATCAATCATGATTTGCATTATATCCTGACGCTACAATAATGCAGTACCGTAATATATAGTATCACAAATGCCATCATTGCAATTAATTTACATTAATCAGCTAAGAGAATATAGTAAAATAATTCTATAAATTACTTTCGAATCTACTTCTTTTTTTCGCATGGATAACACTTTATCCGCAAAGTTATCTATGAACCCCATACCATTAATAAATGAACGATCCAATCTGACCATTAGTGGAAATAGTGCAGGCAAAAATACCGCTATAATAGGGATAAAAAATGCGGAGAATTAGGATTCGATGTTAGACCTATGTTATAAATTTGTAACGACACGGAAAATTATAACTGCTGTAGAAAACTAAAGGCTAAGAGTCTACCGGCAGGTTTATCCTCCTGATATCTACCTACAGTACGACTCTAATACTGATGATCTTCCATTATCACGGTAAACAGTAACACAACTAGTCTCTCCTGAGACAAAACTAAACCTAAACTTTATTAAAATGTTAGCCAAGTTATCGTAGCTCTACATAAACATTTATTGTGTACGATCAGTTCATAGATGATATTTATAAAAACTATGCATTTCTCTATAAAAGAATGTATAACGTCATTGATAATGCTATTCTCAATAAATACGAAAGAATGTCATCTGATGAAAATAAGAGAAGCATTAGTTAGCAAAAGTCACTTTGCGACAACATAATACAGTACAAAGTAAATGCTTTCTACATAGAGATAATTTAATATCGATAACTAATCTTTAGAAATACAGCTGATTACAGACTGTAATGAGAAGTACGGTACAGTACAATAAAATATTAAGAAAAGCTTGTAGGAAATACCCTTCATTAGACAAGTACGTCTACATCGTAGCTATAATATTAAAAGCCACTCAATACCTGATATAACTGCAAACGGACTTAGGTGCAAACTCTGACTAGCACGCTTATTTAGGATATTATCTGAATTAGTTTGAGAATCTACGTCAGTACCAAAAGCCGTCGCCATAATAATTTGCATGGTGTAAGTTCCAAACCACCTGAAGCAATCGTCAGCATTTTAATATCGTAGGAATCTATATATCTTGAATTAGAGAGCCGTACAATATTGCAACATACTCCCAGATATTCACTGGTTCTCCTGTTTTAGTAGCTTCATCTAGTTTCTGCATTAAAATCCTAGTAGAATCATCCAACAATGGCCTCATCTGTTTCATTAACATTAAAATTTTAGAGGTAGGAATCAGTTACTACATTCATTGAATAAAATCATACATTTTTCATCTTGTTCGAGGTAAAATTAGGAGTCAAGATGTTGCGCACTTTCTTCCAGTGATCATCACGTAATATTAATAAGCCAAGATCAAACCGAAATCCTGTATTGAACGTAATCTACAATGAACATTAAACAACGAATAAGCTCCAAAACTTTGCAAATAATAATCAGAATTGATGGTTGCAAAAAAAGCATTAAAATTTGCCGTATAACATTGTTAAATCATAACTTTTAACATATTTACTATTCAAATCGATATTTATTACACTAGTAACTGATTTTATATAAATCCAAAATATGTACACAGTAAGCATAGAATACAAGTAACTAAAGCAAGCAACTGTATACCGATCGATTCAGAAAATTTGAAAATTGTTTCACGGTGATTTCTTTAATAATATCTGGATCAGTTAACAGATAGCGACCCCTCACGCCCATAAACAATCTGCATAATCAAGATTCAACAGAAAGATATAACTGTACCCTAATATCAGTTACGTTAATAGTAATTTGTAGGAAATCCTATAACTTTGGCAGATATAACGTACCCCGTTACACGTCCATACTTTTTAATAAGGTCGGCATGCACTTCATGCATTTTCTGTGCAAACACACAGCAATACACCAAATTAATGAATTAATAATTATTATCATAAAGTACCTCGAATACAAGGTTTAAACAGGTTATAGTAAAACAGCCAGCTTAACAGCTAGCTGTTCTAGGGTACTTTATGACCTTGATCAAAGTAAAAGATATCGAAGGCATTTTACAATACCAATTTGCGTTCTATTATGCCATTCTTAATATAAGTAACTGTAGAAAAAATGACTGTCAATGAGAGTTACCTTCGGTTTCTTCATAAATTCGAGGGCGTTGCCTAGTAAAAATAGTGGCTTAGGCCCAGCAACACCAATTCTTTCAAAAGTCTTGTAATTTTGTCTCAGTGAACTGATGAAAAGTATATCAAATTAGAGAGGTACGTCTGTTGAAGTAGAGCCTTTTAGAAGTTCTTAGGTAAATTTAGTACATAACGATATCGTTTTACGAACGTGTAGTAGCGCAATGCCTACCCGATCGTAGCTCATGATCTCAATTGAAAAGTAAAATTTAACTGTCATTGTGATTTCTTCTACCCAAATTCCTCATAGTTACGTTCTACAATCAGATACTAAACACCATTAGATAAAAATATGTAATTGGAACGTAGATTATGATCTCATTTTGAAAAGAAAAAAATTGAGCCGTAATAGGCATCACTTCTACCTTAATTTCTCATAGTTACGGCAGTACATCCGATAACTCGTATGTACGCCTTCCGATAAAAGTACGTAATTGCTACCTGTATAGTTACGACTTACGAGTCATAATAGAATATTATTTTATTGTTGATAACATAATGTGCTCAGTCATCATAAATGGAATGACTAATTCTTCTATGATACGCTAATTAGTTTTGATTTGATTGCTTCTAAATCATGCATCTTTACAATCTCGTCACATATTCTACTGTATCGTGGTTTGGATTCTAGACGTACAGAATGAAAAGCACGTCATGTATACGTTAATTAATTTTGATTTGATTACCAATAAATCATGCATCTTCACAATCTCGTCACATATTCTACTGTATCATGGCTTGGATTTCTAGCCGTACAGAATGGACAGCACGTCATGTTGAACATATTTCTCCAAACTGTAGCCCAGCAAAGACAGTAATACGTCAATGGTTCGACGACGGTTTCAAGGCTAATATCAATACGTGTGGAAATTGATTAAGCAAAGTAGTCTTAAGTCAATTTGATAGTACTAGTCTATATGGAATGGTCAATTTGTCGATTGCATTATAATTGGATACCATTCGCATGCGTGTAGAATACTGACTAGATACTTTAGTTAACCATATCATTTTTGCACTAAAATATAGCATTACGCAGTACATTCAGTAATTCAATCCATTCAAACTGAGAATACTCAATATCGATGAGGTCGTAATTATGTAGAGATACTAATCAGGATTCTATTGAATGGGTTGGTAAATCCATCAATAAATAGTCATTTCAATTCATCTTCACTTATGAAGTATACGTAGAGTATAATCAGTACTGAGCATTGAACATTGATGAAGAAGACTTTCTATCCATGCAGTTGGATGAGCTGAGCGATAAACGTACGTAAAACATTGCAACAGCTTTTACTAGGTAGGAAGGAGTCAAGCACTTTTTTTGATGTAATGCTGCAACTGACTGAAAGATACTTTACAAAAAAAAGTCTACAATAGAAATGGAAATAAAATCATTAGCATGGAAACGGCTACTTTAGTAGCTTATGGAATGATGGCCATGTAGTAGCCTTGTCAATTTGTTGAATTTCAATAGGTGATTGCTAAACGTCTAAACTAGATTCAATTATCCTTTTTAAACCAACGTTGTCGGTACTTAACTGGATCCATTTTACAGCCTTGTAGATAGCATAACATAACCCAACGGCAGCCGTAACGGCCATTGCTGAGGCTCCACCGATCATTTTGCAAATGAAGGTATCGCGTTAAAAGCGCTCTTCTGGATTAAATGGAATCAATCCAGTCTTGAAGGTATAGTAGTTGGACTAGCTGCCCCCAAAATGAATCAACTTTTGTTATGATTGATCACGTCCGATTTCAATTGTAGCTAATACGGTAGACTACAATACAATGTTGGACAACAGCCAACGCTTCCTGTATGGGCTGTACAGTGTACAGTACCAGTATACTGTACATTGTATAAGGCCACAACAAACAATATTCATGGTGCTACGGTACTGGATGTTAATTAAAATGACTATACAAACTTAATTAAGAAAATGTCTTGTAGTCCATCGAAGTGTTGTCATTCTACAGTACTATGTATACAGTAGTAATGGCCTACTGTAAATAAATAAACTTATCATTAATTAATTAATTATAAAGGAAACATGAAAGCACCAGCGATCACCTCGACTGCTGCTGTTCGTCATGAGTCACGACTTAGTCACGATTAATTAAGGAGTACAGGTGGATTCATGGCTGCTGAAGCACTGATTTGAGAGGCAGTACACTAGTACAGTATAGCATTATTACAGTCGTTACAGTATCTAGTTTGTTTGCAGTACAGTACACTGAGTACTGTACAGTACAGTATGCAGTATTGAAACGGACTGTACAGTGTACACTGTACTGTACGGTCGTGCATACAGTATACTGTACAACTTGAAAACTTACAGAAAATTAAACATGCCAATGTAATACTACTTCCCTATTTTAACTACAATCGACTCACAAGAATGAGTAAGACTACGTTTATATAATAAGTTTTATTACGATGTTAAAATACAGGCATTAGAAACTACAGATATCATATGAAAAGAATATCCACTATGACCTCTCCGAGCTAACCTATGAATCTAGCTCTACAATTATATTAGGATGCTTCTATATCTAGTTTTGATGTACATCAAAACTCGATCACAATTTTCCCTGTACAAAATAGTACAGCATATCGTAACGGCTACAGTATAGGAAGGAGCCTTTTAATATGATCCACGTCTTTTTTATATCGCCTCGAACCTTGTTCCTCAGCTCCTCGACCTCTAGTCAATCTTTACAGTAGTGTTACTAGTGGTACAATAGAGTATCATGTTCCGTAGTTTGCCCACTTTTGCGGAATGTAAGAAATACGCATGTGCATTCCGCGAGGGGCTGAAGTGCTCATCCGCTTTCTGTTCCATTCTGTAGTTTACTCGGTACCTTCATTTTAAAGGTACTGTACGGTATACTGTACAAATTAATTAATTAATTAGTTTTTCGGTTTGAGTACAGTACTGTAGACGGCGATACTGTACTGTACAGTACACTGTACAGTGTACAGTAGAACTCCACAGTACTGTACACTCTACTGGGCGTGGCGAGCCATGGAAAATGGTTGAAAGATGTTTGTACTGCCTTCAATGATGTCTTTCAATTTGGAAGAAATGGACTTTCAATTGGGCTCCAATTCCATGTAGACGGATCAGTAAAACCTTGAGCCATTGGTTCTTGATGTTTTGATTCATTTTATATAGCAGTATTGGTTAATTCTATTTCTTTCAAGCTTGCAAACGATCAGTCGCTGTTGTAGGTACGGCCGCTCCAACCATTTTACAACTCACGTCGTCATACCGATCTTATACTGTACTGTATACTCTTGTCTATCGTCTATGGGCCATCGTCATATTTCTACTGCGCACTAGCAACATGCCAAGGCGTACAGTACAGTACAGTACAGCATTCTCGACGGCTTAGACTGTATCCATTTGACGACTGCAGCTTTCGACGCTTACTTATTGCACTAATTGGGTGCATTTCTTCTACTTTTATTGCTCATTCGCTGCATTATAGAGTACTACGATAATATTCTTGGCTACAAGGCGAAAGATGGAATCCAAATTAAATTGGCCGGACCTTTTGCTGTTAATGAAGGCAAGATATTGCTATACTAAGGCATTAATCAATGTGATAGAGAGCGAGTGTACAATTTTATAAGGCATACCATGACCATACTAGCTTGCTTGTCTTTTGACAATATCAAGGAAGAAATTTCATATTGACATACTCGTAGAGAGCTAACGTAGCATCATCAAGTTGTAAGGATGACCATATTCTTATTCTTAACAACGAAGAAAGTCCATGTTGGCATAGAGAGCCAGCCAACGTAGCATGATATAGTGAAATAGTTTTCCGCTCCTGCTTTTGTAGATGTAGGATTAAAATGCTTACAAGCGTAATCGACCTAGTCTTCTCTGCAAGTATTCTTTCGCTCGAGCTCTGATACTGTTTTACTTTTGGCGTGTTTCATCAATGAATCGATCGTGAATTCATCGCATAATTGTAATTCATCACTCACGTCTTGTAATGCATAATAAAAGAAATTAAACCAATCTTACTGTCATTATAGAATCTTCTACATTCGTAGAACAGGCATGGTGCTAGGACGTAAAAAACGACGGTTTGACGTCTAATGGACAATACGTGTTATTTTATCAAGGAATTCATGCATTTTGCTTGACATATTAATCATCGATGTTAGCTCCTAGTTATCCATACAGTAGTACTTGAAGCCTATTTTAAATGGAGATTGTATACAGAATTTAATGATAGTAATTGCTTTCCTTTTAGGCACCCTCTAAAGATGTTGTGTATAAAATTTGTAATGAAGCTTTCATCTATCGAAACACGCAAGGTATCGCACTCAGTCAACGCTTAACTCCAACAGTTGCTAGCCGATTCTTGATTGAAAAGATTTGATATCGTTGTTAATAGTACTATTTCGAGACAGTGTAATATTCCTAACAGTTAGAACTTCACTATTGAATTTATATAACTACGTTATCTGTAGAATATGTACAAACTTTCCTCCTGTCATTGCTGTTGTAGTACCGAATGAAATTATTGCCTATTGTACGACAGAATTGAAGCTAGAGTCAGCTGATACTTACAAGGTAAGATCAAGGAAATTGATAAATTGAACCACTCTATCCAAATATGAAAAGTTATCATAGTCAAAACAACTCGTACGGCATTAACGAATAGCTTACATGTATTTTTATTACTGTATTATAAAATGAAAATATGGCTTCTATTGGAACTTCGTTAGCTATTGCAAGAGTTAAAAAATTTAATTCTCATGCTTTTGTATCAAGACATTTCTGATCCTAAAAGAATTTATAGCCTATTTCCAGGTATGCATTAGCTTATTTGTCGAAAATAATTGATCAACCTAAGATGAGCTTTCAACAGTGCCGATTTGAAATAACCAATACTGATATGCCACATCTATTCATAGACGATTTTCATAAGAACTTAAGAGAACTCTTATCTAAAATTTTAGCAGAATCGATGTAAGTGCAGATTGATGATACGTTTTAACGACAGGTATCATTGTGCCAGACACTTAAATAATTGCCCTACGTAATGAAATAATTTCCTCAATGTAAATTCGTTAACTTACTTGAGCGTACATTTTAAATTACGGTCTATAATCCTAATAGGCCAAAATGGAAAGCATCGGCCATAAACAGACAAGGTAACCATTTCAAATCGAAATGTTTTTTTGTACGGTTTGTAAAGTCGTTTAATCTTGCCATTACAATTATCACCATGCTGTGTATCATTATTTTTAAGTATTTTAATGGAGATAAAACAAATAACTAAGTAAAACTTCTTTGCAGTATCTTTGCCTCGTCTTGAGGATTTCGATTGGCGTGTAGATTTAAAAGTTTCGTCAGATACCATCAATCGAATGGCAATGCCAACTTGTATAATGCAATTGAAGGTGAATATTTCTGTCTTGCATTCTTAACATCAAGTTTTCTTTTTAAAATATATAGCCTTTGCAAAAATATTGAAGTAGAACGACTAAATTTGACATTTAATTCATTTGGTGTTAACCGCAATACGTCCAGCTGTTATTAGTTGTAGAACTGTTCATGATATTTTGTATCATCAAATGTAATGACTGTATGATAATAGTTTTATACCTGAACCTCTTAACATTTCCTATTCAATATTTCAATCATTAACTTAGATTCAACAAAATCAAGAAGAAACGAAACTATTGCCTCCTCAACAATGCATTAATTTGGAACTTAGCAAGGAAACCATAGATACTATGTTAGATGGCTTAGGGAAAATTAGGGATCAGTTATCTTCTGTAGCTGGTAAATAAAATCAAAGTCGAACAGGCTGCCAAGACTACTTTACAGATACACCTGTGATATATTGTGAAAAAAAATACTAGTATCCTGTATAGTTGATTGATATCATTAAAATATCATTTTTTATACCAGAAAATGAAATTCATGCTAAATCTTCATAAGATCATATGTGTAAATGGCTATGTTAGTCTCAGTTACAACTTGGGATAACAGCTGTTTAATATGCCCTACCATAATTATTCTTAGATTTAGTAATAAAGACTGTTTTGTTAGACGAACTAATCGTTATTATTTGACTTGAAGCAATAAGTGGATTTAACTCACCGTCAATTCATGTTATCAGATGTAGTGTAATCGTTTTTAAAAGCACTTGCAGATGTCGTAATGAGACAATTTAAAGAGGCATATTTTCTTTTAACTTTTTTATTGGAATAATTGTTTTATTCCCTGCTATAGTTACACTCGTTAAGCAGGGGCCAACTCCATGGTCTTGTATTCGATCTTCAATTTACAATTTACTATAGAAAGATATTATAGCCATAACTCTGTTTACACCCTTAATGAAAGCCACTACTGAAAGATATTATAGCCATAGCTCTGTTTATACCCTTCATGAAAGCCACTACCTTTACAACTGTACTACTACTCGGTAATTTGTACTGCACTAGTGAAATCTTTAAAGCGCTATAGAAAATTTTACCTTCGGTATTGTTCATAATCACAAATTGGACAAAGTATGTGTAGTGAATAAACATACGATCGTCCCAACTTTACAAATACACCAATATAAAATAGCCGGATTCTTTAGAAGCATATAAATGATACGAATATTTTAATTGAGCGATGTTTAGGATGGATAATAAATCATGATTGTGTATATTGTATTTATTAAGTGACTACGGAAATAATATTATATTAACAACGGCCACTTTATTTCACACGTGCACTTTAAATGGTGTACGATTTCAATCAGACTTTCTATTCGTTTCAAGGTATCAGCAATAATGATAAATAATTAATTTACGGCAGTTCTCTAAATACCCCTACTATAAAGACATAGCTAAGATAATAAGTAAACGTTTCTTCGACAACTATAATTATATCGTTTAAAAACCTTGAAGGCAGTATAAATACCAAACATAATATACAATCTATATTTGTGATACCTACAATGCATAATTATTCGAGAGAGTAAATTGTAACGAGGATTGCATTATACAGTACGATAAGTGAAAGTAGTATTGTAACAATAATTAGGCAATTCCTAATGTTGGCCACGAATACAACGTTATGATAGGTCATATTTTATGTACTGAATAGGTACTCAGATATACAAAGGATACTATATGGTAGAAGCTATATTTATCGTGATGATGATTTAGTAGCGTATTTGAATTTAAAAGATACAGTACATTTTCTTTCTCCTGTTGTATGTACAAATAGACTAAATCTAAAGAATTATTCGAAGTAGTTTCTGATCGATTTAAAATTTCCAACGGCAAATTTTCTCCGGTACTCTTTAATCCATAAGGTATAATAACTGTATTTGTTAATTACTTCGTTAGTAATTATAAATGGGAGAATTAAGGCGATCATTTAGTGATTTCATTGGTTTATAGGTAAAACGTCAGCTATCGTTATTATTTACAGAGTTCCATTTAATTTAATAAGCATAAAATTATCAGAATAGTAAGGTATGCAACCAAGGTATAATACGTGTAAGATAAAAAGAATAATCACAAACGATTTAATTTTTTAAAAATATCTTTCCGTACTTGTGCTGCGATAAATTAGCTAGAATCAGCAAAAGGTCATAAATTCGATGTTTATAATGACTCAGTCGATTCTTCTAAAATACAGTTTACCAATCATACTAAAGATTCTATTTTATACTACGGTAGCACATTACCATCATTATTCTAGCCTAGTGTATGCCCTCAGATTATTTAAATCTATTCGATCATAAAACGTTGCATTATGTAAATTAGCAAAACCTTATTATGTTTATTTTTTATTTAACTCTTGCGAACTTATCGCGCCCAGACTATGTTGTTCCAATTTTAATCTAAACCAGACAATAGCTGCATTGAACAATACATTACTACAGGCCTGGCCTATACGGTGCGGTGCATTTATAAGTAGCATCATATTTTTCCACGGATCAAGACTAAATCCATTTAGAGATAGGGTACTCTTCAATTTAAAAAGTAAATTTCTAGGTGAAAACATGCGGATAAAGTTAATTGTAATTAAAAGAAGGCAGCTGTTGTTAACTTGATGGATGAAACCGTGAAAGTTGATTACTTATGTACAATAATTGTTATATCGATGATTCATCAATCGCTTGCCTATCCATTAATAATTAATGAATGAATGTGGTAATAATGCAATTTTATAAAATATTGACTAACTTTATTCAAAAAGTCACTAACGTACTTTGTATTTGTCACCATAGCAACAAGGCTTTGCACAATAAATTCAAGCTAATTAAGAAGGTCATACTAACTAGCTAATGTAAGAAATCGTCTAATAAGCATTGCATTAATATTTTTAGCTAAACTAATTGATTAGAAAAGTTCTTGCGGGCAAATAAGAATAAATTCCTCGATTGATTCAATAATCACACCATACTGAGTCTACCGACTTGTTAATAGTTTAACTAGAAGCAAAAAATATCACGCAGTTTCATGTATTAGCGATTTAAAATAAAAGCAACTTGCATTTAAGATCTAGTTTACTCTGTATTCGTACTGAATAATCTACGTGAAAGTCCGGCCATGAAAAAAGGCAATAGCAATCGGTCATATATTTATGGATTCGATAAGGTAAGATCCAAGTTGTTAAATTAATTATTCTTAAAGTGATAGCAAGCTATCTTCTATTATTTCATTTCCTAGCACCAGTATTTTTTAGAGCACGTTTAAAATTAATTATCTTAATATTAGTATAGCTCGATCTAATATGGATTTTGTTAGCTACTGTATGGTTTTGTGTAATTAATTTTACCACTCAATTATGAGTTTATTGCCTATCAAAAGCTCAAAACGTACACTTAATTTCTTAATTTTGGCCCTAAATAAACTTAAGAGGGCAAATACATTTAAGCTATAATATACTACAGATGCTATAATCTATCGTAACAACTGTTGTGTTGTGTAGCGTTGATAAGATTTTAACCCCCTACGATAAAATTTCTATTCATCAATGGAATGTTGTTCCATTTTATAATACTTTGATGCTTAATACTCTTATACCTCCTTCCTGTTGTAAATCACTTTATGATAAATCAGCGATGTATTTCATGTTCATCGTCGTAGATTTGAAGCTTAGCCACGGTGTTTATTTAAAAAATCACTTCCAGAGCATACTCTAATATACGAGCAAAAAGGCTCAGACTTTGCCTACCATAAAAAGGAATTAGTGTATTTGTCGTCAGCTCTACTGTCTTAATTTAACAATCATTATTATTTCAATATCAGGTTGTGAAAACTAAGAATGACGTGCAAAAAAAGAATACTGAGCTAATTGGTTACCAACCGACAAAGCCATTTTCACGTATAGCACCCAAAACGGAAATTCTTATAGACAGTAAAACGTTAAATGATATTCACGGTCGAAATGACGAGACTACCTATGACACGAAGATACGTAATAACATTAACTCAATCTTAGTAAAACCCGTCGAGAAAATTAATGGTAATCATCAAGATGAAATAACACCTCAAAGCCCTAAAAATGGTAAATTAAGTTATAATTATTTTATTAAATAGTTTACAAGTTAGAACGAACAAATGCATTTGTAGCGAAAGTTAGAATATTTGGATCCAAAATATCAATAAGTTAAATTGCAAGCACTATGTAGTAACTGTAGATAGAGAATTGATACTTTTATTCAATCAATGATGCTTTTCATTTCCGCCAGAATCAGTAGAAGAACCAGAGTCAAATCCTTTAAATGAGAGTCAAAAATCAGTTAAATGGGCTTGGTCATCAGGAAATGATAAGAAAGAAAATGATAATCAAGAAAGCTCCGCAACTGATCACTTAACGTCAGTTCTTGGCAATATGAAAGTTGAAATTGAAGATGTTGGTGATAAATATGACGATTCCGATGATAGTGACGATTGGGATACCGACTTAGAAGAGGATTTTAAGAGTAAGCTATAGATTAGGCTTTAAAACCACTTTTATACTGTGTTTATCAATATCGATAGAATTCAAATTGTAGATATTTAGAAAGCTGTAGTACGTACTCAGGTAGACTAAGATTGCCTCTATAATGTATAGAATGAGAGTAAAAGGCTACTTTAACTCTGCATCGTTATCATAGGCTACTTATTCAGATTAAATTAAGAATCTATTTATACATTCCTTTCAAGTGTTAGCTCTCTGGTAGTTACTACCTTTTCTTTCTATAAAAATCTGCGTACAATGAGTTTAAATCATTTAGTAAGTTAGCAGGGCATTTAGTTTTTAAGATGTGAGGTAAGTTGATATTCATAACTGAGGAATTGTGAACAGTAAGATATTAATTGCAGATTAACACGACTAAATTGAAATTAGTTTCATCTATAAAATTAATTCCATGGAATACATTTAAAATATTTCTGTAAGCTACTGAGTTCTAGTTTCAACCCTATAGTATTAAATTATATTCGAAATCGCCTTTACTTTTTCGATTAAATATATTGATATTACTGCTATTAGTAAATAAAATTAAAATTTTACGCTATTAAAGTAAATACTCTATTAACTTGTTCAAAAATCGATTCTACTTCTGCTCACATAAATTACTGCGTGCGAGTAAGTTAATATCATAGCAAAGAACTTATTAAGATTAATTACGATAAGCAAAGGATCAAAATGCACAAGATTAATTTAATCGTTTAGACAATATATAGCCATGAGGATGATGATGCATTTATGTAATTTTTAATTAAATGATTTAATAGAGCCTCCAATTATCTATGATAGTACCGGAAGCGATGAATACGTAAAGCTTTGCAAGCAATATGGTACTTATGATCAAATTTAATATCACGAATTGACCCTGCATTAAGGGCTAAGCTAACTTATTCTAATATGCCTTCATAGTTCTTGGCATAGTCTTCGTTATTATTAATACATTAATGCATTTGTTAATATCAATAGGGACAATTTGGGCTTTATGTAATAACTTCAGAGTTAAGAAAAGAATATAAATCGTTTTATAATAATTTATCGAACAACTTTAAAATTAATTTTTAGGAGTTATTCCAGTTTCTTACCTTCTACGTCATTTTCATGAATCTGCCATTATCATGAAACATCATGGACTGGGGCCCAAAGGGGCTATTCCGCTGGCTTATGCACTCCTTGTAAGCTGCTACTATTTTACTATAACTAAAATTATAATGTCTAGATTATCGGTCGTGTAAACTGTCAATAAAACAATAAATTAAAAAATCTTTAACCACTATCAAGACATTTATAGTAGTAATTTGTAAAAATTTATAAATGGTCACATTATAACTGATTATTAGTTATAATCTCTGTAATATACCGTAATTGTTATTTGTAGAACAACACCAAAGTTGAGAGATTAATTGTAGCGGATAATTACATCAAAGAAGATGGCGCACAAGCAATAGCTGAAATGTTGCAGGAAAATATGTATATACGTGAATTAGTAAGTTTATTCTTATAATTCGTTTTGATAGTTCATTATTACTAAGATATCCTATATCATAAAGAGTGAACTGAAACTCTGTATGTATAGGTATTAATCTATCTTTGCATAACGAATTTTTTAAACTAATAACAGTATTATTTAATGCAGGTTAACTAATTTTGCTTTATTGCTTGCTTCGTAGAATATTTCCGATAACTTTATCGGTTCAGAAGGGGCAAATGCTTTTGCAAAGATGTTATTTTCAAACACAACGCTACGAACTTTAATCATTAAAGGTATTTTGATAATACAGTTAAAAAATTTTATTTCAATTTTATCTTAAAGATAATTTTACACGCTAAATTAAGGCATACAGTGCAAGTTCTACATTTTTAATTTGCTTAAAATTGACTGTAGCTAATATAAGTAAACTGAAAACTGATCCTTTACTATTACAAAGGAAATCATATTACTGATCAAAATGCTGCAACATTTGCTGGAGCACTGAAAGCCAATACAACCTTATCGTATTTGGACTTGAGCCACAATGAATTTGGAGAGTTAGGAGCAATCAGTTTAGCTAACGGAATCGTAAGAGAATTAAAAAATTTATAGCTAAACAGCGGGGAAAGACTAATTTGAACCGCTTCTGCATATTATAACCAAGATAAAATTTGTATAATACATTTACATTTTAATGATATGTAGGCAGAAAATGGAAATCTTGATGTTATGGATCTTAGTTGGAATTCCATTCGTGGCCGTGGTGGAGTGGCTTTAGCCAAATCTTTAAGGGTGATTAAAACCAAAGTTCAACTTTCTTCTAAATAATTTCTTCCATTTAACTTTAATTGATAGTAAAGCATGAACATCTAAGTAATTCATAACCTCTTACATTTATTCTAGTTAAATACAACGCTAGTTTCCTTAAATCTAGCTTGGAACGGTATCTCAGATGTAGGAGCTTTTGCTTTGGCGAAATTTTTAAGAAAGAATACTACTCTTCAAAGATTAGATATTAGGTAAGTAGAATAACAATCACAGTATGGCACCTAAGTGCATTAATTATTTCCAATTTGAGGTCTTAATCGACATTTAATGAATCATATTAATAGTATTATCTTTTGCCTTGTAAAATATTAAAATGTTCCGTTTCTTAATATTAATTCATTTTCCTTAAAATGAAACGGAATTATAATGTATTTATAGTAGCCGAATATGTCTATAACCAATGTCTTTTCTAATACAGTCGCAATACTTTTAGCAAAATTCCATTGCCTAAGACATTAATAGGCATATGCTATATATATTAACGTACCGTGCATTATTCGGCAACAGATGCAATTTTGAATTGCAGAAATAGTAAAACAAGCCCGCTAATTAATTTTAGGAGTATTAATCAATAGTATTCTTTTACGTAATTTTATCTGTCCACGTAATAGATCATATGGTATACTTTGCGATATGAAATCTTTGATAACCAGGCTCTAATTTTTTCAATTTCCAATGGTTACTTTTCAGTAATAATCGTATAGGAGAAATTGGAGCTATCAAACTAGGAAAATGTTTAGGAGTTAATAACGCATTAACACATTTCAAGGTGATAATTTATTAATAATATTTAACTGTAATTTTGTCTGATATTCAACTTTAAATTTAGTTATACTCAACATCTATACCAAATGTATAATTATTTCCCTTTTATTAATTAAAACATTTTCGACCGAATTAAAACATCATGTTTAGGTTAAGATAATTTCAGCATGTGATAGTCTACTTCTACAAATATAGCTAATAATATCATTGCCTGAAGCAAGTGCATTCAACATGTCCGAATCAAAATGATATACTATGTACTGTAAGATAACCAATATCACTATGCTTTTAACAGATTAGCACTAATCCAGTCGGTAATAAAGGTGTTGAAGCTATTTTAAATGGTGCCAAGAATAATGATTTACTGAAAGTTTTAGGCTTAGAAGTAAGTATAGAATCGATTTGATAACCAACAATGCTTGCTTGCGTATGCGGTGAAGCCTTAGTACACTTAAAAGAAATTCTTAATTCAACGTTTTGAAACATTTCGTAGGAAATTACTGTATCAAGAAAAATGCATGATGAAATTGAAGAGTTAATGGAAGTTCGAAATATTAAAATATTTCACGGTGGAAAAGGCGGATACCAGAAGCCTATAGTAAGTAGATACGCATTACCACAAGCTGAGATCTTTGTAAGAAACTGTTTAATTTAAGGTGCTGCAGTAATAATACTCCATAGGGATTATTTTTAGTTTAAATAAAATAAAATCTCGGTTTATTTTCAGTAAATGGTTTATGATATGATTTTAATAAACCATTTCAATTTGATGATGATATAGAAATCGATAACACCAATGGAATTATTGGATGACTTCATAAAGCTTAATCGATGGCGCTTGATAGACATATTTATAAGGTTCGATAAAGATAAAAGTGGAGACATATCGAAAGATGAGTTAAAATGTGGCTTGAAAGAGACCGGATTAGAAATGAGCTCGGTAAGCCACTTAAAGAAATATAAAACTGTGTAATAAATTTGAATTCTTCAATTCCTTGCACAAATTTATTTTTTTTCCTGTATATAAGTATTTATGAACCTTCCTCTAATAATTATAATGTATAAATAAAGCAGTATTCAATTTAGATTGTAAAACACATAGCCACGAAAATTAATTCGCTTATATGTAATTTTCTTTAATATAGAAACAACTAGATTTACTAATCGATTACCTCGATACCAATAAGGACAACAAAATTCAATATAGGCAAGTTGAAGATCAATATTTAAATTTTGGATTTTGTTGTTAAATTTAAGTTAATTCCGTGTTTGCTGTAGAACTTAATGTTCTTATCGACAAACTGTTGTTGAATATTAATACTTCAATTTTGAATTTCATTATTAACGTTAGGTTAATTCTGTGTTTCTTATGCTAGTCAATGTACTAATCAACAAATTTCTTTAATCTTTTATAGTGAATTGATTGAAGGAAAGCTTGTATTGGTTAAAGAAAGACGACTTTCAGTTCGGGTTTCTCGATCACGGACAGCTTCCATTAATCATCAATTTAAAGTAGCTGAAAGAAATACTTGATGAAATCATTTTTTGAATTTCTTCCACATTGTATTATAATTAAATAAAGCGAGACATTCTACTTGTTATAATTAATCTTCTGAAACTATATGTGCTCTTATTATTCGAAAGCTTACAGATATATAGAGCCAAATAAAAGTTATATCAGGCCATATTATGAACTTTATTTTTTAAGAAGATGCTTGGATTACGATGTCTTATATCTGTATCGGGTCAAAACTCGAAAAATTCATTTATTAAATTTTATCAAACAATATCTAACAGTCGCTATGATGCTATTTTTAATGCAAATGATATTTTATTGCCTATTCTTGTAATAAGTTTTCCTTAGGCATTATTAAATACCATTATTGAGCAAATATATGCGATACTTTGATCAATAATATCCTAAATTGTAACAGCTAATTAACTGTATCGGATTATTTTCGATGAGAAATTCTTCTTCTAAGCGAAGATATAGAACAAATTGCTGTCAATATTTAACATGAAGTCTTTGTGATCTCATCGGAGTCTATACTGAATTATTATCATGCAATAATTAGCAAAATATATTTGATTATTGCAAATGTTATTATGCAGCAATAAAGAATAAATTTGAAGATCATGAGATTTGGTTGTGATTTATAATTAACTAGTAGAAGAGGTTATACGATTCTAATATTTTATAATCAATCTTTGCATGCTGCTGCAAATATACTGTCGTGACGAAATACTGCTATTGCATTTTAATGTCAGTGTTCAAACAATAGGCTAATCTCACGAAATATATTAGAATAGGGTCTGCAGATTCTAACTAAATCTTCAAAATTTCAAAATTGCATATAGAGTATTCCTTTGCGTTTGATAGCATCGACTTCTAGCATGTAAAAGTTCTTATCACAATACATCTTGATATTTATTATATAACATAAGCGATCTTTCAAAGAGATCGTGAACGAGTCCTTAACGTCTTCTATAGATCAATAAGGTAAATTTTGTTATGTAAAATCGACAGTAATGACAATTATTGTAATCATAGCTCTGGCTATATTCTTAATATAAAGTAAAAAACCCTATTATATTCCTTGAGATTGCCCATCTTGTTACATTTATGAGTTAAGGAAACTGTAATCTCTTTGCTTTTCGCCATCTAATTTAAGACATAAAAATTAATAAATAGCAAAATAATGTCTGTAGCATCTTGTCTCCAAATACGTGTATCTAGATCATTCATAACATTTTATCTCTACGATTGTAATTATCAATATTATCTTTATTGCGTATTTGCGTTTAAAATAATGGTGAAAATTATCATATAAATAGTGGTAAAAAATTAATACAATGTACATTGTTAAACATAGTGCAATAATCAAATCACCTTTTTGTCTAGACATAAAAGAGACATACTGATTAATAGAACGGAGGCAGTTTTGTTATAATTGATGTTAGTATTGATAGTCAAAGTTATCATTATATATAAACTATAAAGCTATTATAGCGTTAAATCATATCTCGTCTTCTAGGGTTTTAAATAAGAACCATAAATGATCATTTTTAGAAAGGGTTTCTTCAATCTTTTTGATAAACGTTTCTTTCAAGAATTAGCATAGATGACAACGAATTGTATCCATGCACATTGCACAAGCAATCATGCGTGTGGCTCATGATTAAAAACAACGGATAAAGACTGAACAGATCTATTTTGTCAATAAACTCTACTGATATTCATTTTCAACGCCGAATAACGAAGTGAAAATTCCAGTAGATTATTTATAATTTATTACTTTACTCAACGTATGGAATGCTTTTGAAAGATGGGGTACCGAGTTAGCGGCCGTGTCCATAGCTTTAAATCTTCCTCATCATATATAACACCATCGGAGCGACGTTGTATTTGGTTTTTAATCCTGCTTCTAATTTTAACCTTAGTAGTTTTACCAATGTTTATCATAATTTTAACAGTTCAAACAGCCACTGGAAAATGTTCTTATTACCTATCCTATTATAATCGGCAAGTACCCGTAACAGCGTTAGTCAGCCCTCCAGGATGCGGTAACGATTGGGTAAGTTATATGGTACAGGAAATATCTGGATACCATGTCGGTAATGTCTACGACCATACAGGTAAATAAAAGGATGAATTTTAAAAATAGATATCATTTGGATCGTTATGTACGCTTCAACGTTTTATACAAGTAGACTAAAATGTACTGGTATATGTTTCAGCCAGTTACTACTGGACACATCTATTAATTTATTATATTAACTGTATCCTTAAACCTATTTGATTGCAGGTGCTTCAGCAATTGCCGTTGAGGCCAATTATATGAATCTCATTGGCCCGGTTGATAGGGCTATCGTCATTATTCGAGATCCTTATGAATGTATGCGTGTTTCCTACGAAAAACAACATTTGCCTGATGTTCGATTTAGGTTACATTACTTGGAGCACAGTAAGTTATATCCCATGTGGGCAATAAAACTTTATTAATCAATAATTGCAGGATAGTTTATAATTTTTTCAGTCTTGTTTTTTTTTTGTTTTTTGTTGGCCTTGTCTATACTCTCACCATGCTTCAATATATTTGAGACGTAATTATCATATCATTAAAGATCGAGATCACATATTATAATACAAATGTATGATCTCGGAAATACATTGGTATCAATTAGTTATTGTTACTAATCTTAATTTCCTTGCAAATGTAGGCGATAAATGGAGAAAACACGCGACTTCTGCTATCCTACTATGGAAAAAACTATATATGAATTATCTAGCCTTTCGTGGACCCATACTGTTTGTTAATCATTCCAATTTAAAGAGTAATCTCAAATATGAAATGCATCGACTAGCTAAATTTCTAAAAATCTCTGCTGATAATAGAAAATTTAGTTGTGTTGCTCGAAGTTATAAGATTCGAAAATATAAGCGTATGCCCGCCCCGTTATCGTTTAATCCATATAAACTGCTTAAGCCTGAAGTTCACCATCTGGTTAATACCTCCAAAATAACTATCATGAAATTAATCAATCAACGATGCCATGATAAAAATTCGAATAAATGATGTTCTACGTCTATTTATGAATAGACATATCCATTCAAGATGGCAATTATACAATTCTATGGTATATTCGAGATTAAAGTTATAAAGTGAAGATAGTAATAATATAATTCCTCAATCAATCAATAAGATGTCATTCAACGTTTATTTCCTCAGTTAACAATTTTTCTTTCGCATAAATTATATGGACAATCCAAAGTTACTATAGCGTGCATCATGGATATTATATTGAAAACTGAAGTAATATCGGCGTTAACACCGAAGTACTTAAAATAATTGCAGACTAAGGCCATAACAGGAATGGATACGATATTACTCAGTATTCAGTGTTATGTCTCTGGCTAGTAGAACTTTTACAAATAGTGGCACCGTGACGCGCACAAGCTTATGTAATTAAAAACTCCTTTATTGCGTTAGCTTAGCATATTTATAAGTATACATCGTACACTCATATACGCATAACCTTCGGATTTCTTATGCTACTCATCGCTATTACCGTATCATCTTATCACTGCGTATACATAACATTCAGTTTATCAGAATTGAACAATATTTTAACAGGCATACGCGGTTTTTATTGATTAATATCAGATGATTGGACTCGAAAAAAAATGACTATCCTGATGTTGTTCTTTACAAGACTATGTGGTTCAATGTGATTATTAACCGTCGAAAAAAGAAAACATGCCTGATCATAATGTAATTTGTGTTGATAATAAAAGGAATCATATACGTATAAGTGTTAAGAAACTGCACTTCATTTATATTCTCTATGCAAGCGTACTAAGTGTATACTGTGTGCGATAGAATTTCTAGTAGATACATTCTCAAATTAGATCTGGCCAGTTTCCTCTGCTCATTTTAATTACAGTACTGTACTGCTATATTTACTGTAGCATCTTTGCAGATGGATCGCAGTTTTCCTCTTAGAATACAAGCACTTCTTTTTATTTTTGACTTCTACTAGATTGCACCACATTTTGTGTCCCCCCCCCCTGCAAAATTACTTTAATATGTGTCACTGTTAATACGGAATAACAGCTTACGGTGTAAGTACATCTGGGCATTTTTGTGGATATTATTGCCAGTGGTCGTAAAGGAAAGAGTCAATGACATGACGAATATTGTAACGTAACTTTTGATTATTTATTGGCTGGGCAACGGCAGGAACGCCGGTAAGTTATTCCATCGAGCCCTTAAACCATTCCAAATTGATCTTTTGCGAATACACATCCGATGTAAAATCCGAACAAATTATTGAATATCTATCTACTGCACGCCCTAGAGTATACTTAGTAAAGTGGTGTGGAGTCAGGGACTACTCAAGAACAAATTTGACCCTAACTCGCATCTCCCCATTCCCCACTCTTACTTTCGAATGGAAAGGGATTATAAAATAACATTGAAAGATTGGGTGATGAGGAAAATGACATCAATTTGTTCACGATACAGTGAACAAATTGATGTCATTTTCCTCATCTCCCAATGTGTGCCAGCTGGTAGAGTTCTCTTTCTGAATTTCTACTGTACACTACAGTACAGTATGATGCTATTTCTTGTCCAATTACTTACTGTACTGGTGTAACCCTTTTTACAATGGACTGTAGAAAAAAAACAGATTCGAGAAACTTGGAAGATCTAAAATCTACACAGCAGTATTACAGTAATGGCGATCAATCGTCAATGACCGACAGTAATGTGCACCTTTCACGTTTGAGTTGAGATACAACACAAATCGCAAAAAACTGCTGAACCTTAATAAAGATCACAAGATCTACAGCACAGTAATTAGGTCAATCTGGAGTACACGATCTTCATTACTGTATCATGGTTCCAGGGTGCACTGCACAGACTCAGTACCATGGTTGAAGCTTTCTTCTACAGTACAGTACTGTACAGGACAGTATTGTACTGTACACGTACTGTACAGTACTTGGTCCGAGTCTACAGTACGTGAAACAGAAAGTAATTACAGTACTGTACTGTATACCGTACAGCACTTGAGTCTACCGTGCAAGAGCAAAGGCTGCATATTGCTCGACTGCCTTTGGGTCAATTTTTCCTCTTGTCTTCATTAGGTCCAAAAGCTATACTAAACTGTGCTGACGTTGACTTTCATTACGGATAATAATAAATAAATAAATAAAAATAATAAATATACTTGGCGGCGTGGCCGATGAAATCGCATTGCAGTTTCCTATCAGAAAATTGGCCTCTATAGTGTATGTCCATGATTGTAGAATGGTACGCTAATGCTTTCGTAGAGATGATTCATGAAGTACAATCCACTGGGCCATTTTTTTCAATCGTTTAGCAGGTACTACGTAGCGCTATAGGATAGCATTGTACTTTGGCAGCATGGAGATTGATTATCTACGAAATGATCGTGTCCTATCCAACATAGTACAGTAGTTTTATCCATACTGTCTCGTTGCTCAGACGTAGCGCCGGCAATCCTTATTACAATGGACAATCTCTATCACCATCGACGACAAAAATTGCAACATCGGCCAATTTCTTATTTTTCAGCCAGCGAGTGCGCTTTTGCCTTTTTTTTGGCATCGATATTTATTGTTTTAGTCGTTGTAGCACCAGCGCGTTTAATTTACTATTCTGTCCTCGAAGCCAAAGGCGAATGTTCTGAACGATTATCCTACATCAAACGTAACTCTCCTGTCACTGCATTAGTTGGTCCTCCTGGATGTGGTACTCAATGGGTTCGTTATATAATACAACAAATTTCAGGACATCATGTCGGAAATATATACGGTCGTACAGGTTAGTCGGTTTATTCAGCACGCTGATGATCATTTTCTTCTTCTCTTATGATATGCTACATGATCACTGTACTGTACTTTGGAATTTTTCTCCTCCTTTTATACCTTGATAATAATTTTTATACCAACCTTATTACATTGATCTATACGAAACTTTTCTTTCAAAGCCTCCAACCTTAAGATGAGGCATTTTCTAATGCCGGGACGTGAACAATTAATCTTCTACATTTTTCCATTTTCTTCTATTTTAGGAGCCTCGGTAGTAGCTGTTGAAACTAACTATTTAAACCTTGTTGGTCCTGTAGATAAAGTCATCGTTGTGGTTCGCTCCCCATTCGAATGCCTTCGCGTTTCTTTTGATGGGCTCTATTCTAAACCCCGACAAATTGTAGCCTCGAGATCTCGATACCTAAATCGTATGTGTACCAGTACTAATGTGCAGTATAATATCTTCTATCCTTGATTAAATAAGTATTCCATCTTTCAATATTTCTCATACTATCAATCGAGATAAACGACTAAAAAATGTCTCTTACGTTTGGATGGTGTAATCATTCTAGAAATCTGATTAAAATATCTTTTATTGCAATAATACGATGACTGTATAAATGATACCCTGGCTGCTACTATTACAGTATAACGGCATCATTTCTAATGCATCAAAATTAAAATGAATGAAAGTTAATTACGTCTATTTTACGCAGGTAATTTATGGGAAAATCACGTCAGATTTGCTGGTAAAAATTGGGAAAAATACTATAAAACCTATTTAGCCTACGATGGTCCAATTCTGATAGTGCATTACTCCAATTTGGTAACAAGCCTCCGCTCTGAAATGCACCGTATATCTCAATTTCTCAACCTTAATCCTACGAAATTGAAACTTGATTGTGTAGCACGGAGCCCGATAAGTATCCGTTTCAAAAGAACTCCAGTTAAACTACCCTTCAATCCATTAGCATTTGTTGCAACGAATATTCAAAATAGCATACGTAACTCTGAAAAGGTTATCATGGACATGTTAAATCAGCGGATTCATCAGGAGGAAGCACGTAAAGAATCCAACAATAATCGAATTACGCTACTTCCATAGCATTAAATAGCAAAGCGATGATGAACAAGTCGTGCTGAATATTGCACGTGTTAGTAAAGATATTTACAATTACAACGCAATAAACCCTCCATACCCTGCTTAGATCATACTCTTATTAAAATATTCCTTTATACTAAAGGCTGCATTATTTAAACTACTCCGCAATAAGTTGCTCGTATATTACAGCACTGCACTGAATAATGTAATTAATTAATCGACAAATTAGGTGTTCATGTATTTATTCACGCCTCATTTATTTGGTTTATTGTCAAAATTGGGATCTCTGTTGCAAGCGTTACACGACATAAAATTATGTCTTCTAACATTTGCCATATGCGTATACCATTTATACTACACTAATTTAATAGTTGCCCAATGAAATGTTGCAATATATTATACGGTATTTGCTGGCTAATGACGAATTATTCTAAGAAATCTTTTTTTATTTGGGGGGGGGGGAACCAATCATCAACAAGAGAATGACTTTTGCTGTATGACACACGCACAGTAAGATATCTGCAGCAACTGCAGATTTTGGTAATCAGTAATACGATAAAAAATATAACTTTTTCCTGTATATCTTAAAATATTATTTACAAGAAACAAACGATTCTATCATTGGTGATACATAGCCCTTTATTTTAATGGTATTCGTTACTGTCACTATCGGCCCTTGTGTATAACTATATATGCTGTACCACGTTTTTTGAGTCTTAATGTTGTTATAACTAATTTGTACGATGAGAATTGCACTGATAGGATTTCTGAAACAATTTTCAAGCCATCTCATTAAAATAAATCGGACACTTCTAGCAACCATTACAAGCTCATACTTTATTTCAACTGACTGTTACACTCCTAGCATTAATTCAAATAAAGTAACATGTTGTTATAACTGATTTATATGATGAAAACTGCAATGATACGATTTATGAAACAAGTTACCTGCATTAAAATAACATAAATTGGACACATCTAACAACATTACAGGCTCATACTTGATTTCAACTGCCTGTCACTAGGGACTACTAAGAGAGCTCTATTAGTAGTCCGTGTCGTCACTCTCTTAGCATTGATTCTAATAACGTAACCACTATACTAGTATAATGGAGTTGGTCTCCTTTACAATAGTAGTAACCTAACTCAGGGTGAAATCTAGTTTCTAGAAAGATACCATAATCAGACATACTATTAACAACTGCAAAACATTGTTAATACAATACGCTCTGTACCAACTCAGGTTTAGCCATAAATGTCAGCATCAAAATATTCAGTTAATTTATTATAAACGAGTAATCGATCTATTTTATGTTCAATAATGTACAATAAGTTGCACGAAAATTCGTAGACAGAAAATGCACGATCGAATAGAGGAATAATAGCAATAATGAATCTATTGGATTGACCACTGCTAGAACAAAGATGAGATATCATATCTATAAATACGTAATTGTACACGATGTTGATACACTACAAGTACTATAGCATTATTGCCATCGCATTCTAAGGGCAAATATCTTAAAAAATCATAGGTAGCCAAGACGTAATCGCCTAAGAAACGTCCATCGCATCGCCATCAGCGTCTCCTTTCGGATCTGTTGCGGCTTCGTCATCAACTTCATTAAACATAAAAGATTTTTGATACTCTTTTAGGAAAGAGATTGTGCGAGACTCATCTAAGAACAGTCCATAAACTCTCTTTACGTCATCCACGCTAACTTCAGTGCCCTTTAACAGAGATATATGAACATTGATCATAGGTCAATGACTGCAATTATTAACGAATATTTCGCAAGATCAGCACTCCTTTCATACTAACCTTTCTCTTCCTGGAAACTAAATTTGCAGCTGTAATAAGTTGTATGGCATAGCGAAGAGAAGTATCTTGGCCGATTTTGGTCAACACGGACAAAGCATCTTCAGATATTTCGACATCTTCTTCTTCACAACTTTAGAATGTAACAAAAATTAAATGAGCTTCAGTCTGTAATAGTATAAATAACTACGTGTAAATTACCGTATGGTTAAGATTTGTTTTACTTCATCCTCATCATAAGGTGACGTTGAAATGATTAAAAGTCGATCAAGTAAATCAATTGGTATTCCATGAGGACTGCTATAGTTTGTTCCACGAATTCTATACGATTTTAATCGAAACCGAACTTTAATTTAACGCACGAATACTTAACTACATGCCCAAATCATCGAAATGTACTATTAATGAATAGCGTAAGGAAAAGACTAACTTTGTAATGCCACGATTTGTAGCCATAATCAAGATTGGAGCTAGATCACTTTCCAATGCTCGGTTTAGGAACGAAAAACATTCAATATCTAACATGTGAACTTCATCAATGAACAAAACCTATCAACAAAGGTCAACAGAGGAAGACTACGTCAAGTTGGTTTAGGATCTTAGAAACTGGTTATCAACTTAATAAGGATACACCTTCAATCTATGCACGTGTTACATCCTATTTCATTAGTTATAAACACTTACCCCAGGAACTATATCAGCTTTTCCTTCTTCTCGCCATTCTGCAACTTTGGTATTAATTTGTTCGCGAACTTCGGTTTTTATTTCTCCGGTATCGCCTAAGACAGTTGCGTAGTATTATCAAAATGAGCAACTTTGCAAAATTTCCTTCATTGTTGTGCATAATTTACTATACGATAATAATCTAACTAGATCGAGTAATGCTTCTATACAGACCGGAAAAAAGAGCTAGAAAGCCTTGAGTTCTGCTATTGATAACGTCAACCTCATGAAGCGTGACAGTATGAACAACTTCCTTCCTTTTTTGTAATTCGCCTTCAGGGCACTGAACAAACTTTGTCTGCATAATCAATATAAATAAGGATTAAAATAAGACATAGATACATAGACGATGTTTTTCATATGTCTATCTAAGTGGTTGTAACTACTACAAATTTATACAAAAGTAATTACTTGAGGTCCCATTGCATCATAGTCTCTAGCCCGTGTAAAAGACCTGCCAAGACGCGATATTTTCCCGGTAGCTTTATCAATTGTAATAATATCACTAAAGACACCAATATGATAAATGTTAGCTCTACGGTATCAGTTAACTTTGATGTTATCAGAAGTAGTCGCTGATTACCCAGCTTGAACTTTTTCTTTTGTTAAAGATTCAATCATTTTCGATCCTAAATCATACACTGTTTCCATTTCAGTAGTTTTCAATATGAGTTTACCAACTTTCTGTCCCTAAAACAATAACACGGTTAATATATTCAGACAGTTAACCTAATTTTTGTTGGCCGATAGACATCTATAAAGAATATTTGCAACACATTTAGCCATGCATCAGACGATATTACAATGTTAACTTACAGAACCAGTAGCTGGACGATCGATTTGAATTTCAACGACCTCTCCTTCTATAATTTCTGTCTCTTCTCTAAAATATTTGCATTCAACTGTTACGCATTCAATCATCAAATATACATATGAGGATATTCATAACTTGATAGTCTCATAACTTACTTGATTCTTACTCCGATGGACCGCCGGAAGGCTTGCGTTAATGCTTCCGTTTTACTCATTTCGAGGGAGAATATTTCGCTGCCAGCTATACTTGTGAAGGGTGTATCTGTGCCAAGAGCTTGAGCCATACCTTTGTATCACCAGAAAGAAATGACATATGACACCGATATTTAGGGTACTCGATAGATGTATGACAGTAGTCTAAATCGCTCATCGTAATTCTAATTACCCATTGCAATAGCTGTTTTCCCAGTTCCGGGATGTCCAGCTATTAATGCAGCGCGACCAGCAATTTTTCCATCCTAAATGGAATAATAAATAAATAATTATCACATTCGTACATAAAAGCACAACAGTTATGCACAATACTTGAGCCGCAAATCTTCCAGCTACGACCTACCCTAATCATTTCAAGAATAATTCCTGCTGCCCTTCTAGCACTGAGCTGGCCTACCATTCCTTGCGAAACCTTGACATTATATTGATAAAAATTTTAACTTATAAACTAGCAATTTAAAGTTAACATTACAAATCTATAATTAAATAGTCCCATTTTATAGAATGTTGTAATAGCTCATAACATACTACTCTGGCCATTGGCTCAAATATCGACATTAACACACGAAGTAGCAAAAGATAGAAAATTACTATAACGGTACCTGGCGAGCCTCTAAAGCATCGTCTAAGCCTAAGCCTCTGACATGAGAGTGAGCACCTATCCATGCAGGAGTTTCAAAAAGAGTCCTCTTAACAAATCACTATCATGGAAGCGTCTAAAACAAAATCCTTATGCGCACATTGGCAAAATCAGGTAAAGTGATTGTCGAATGTTTCGTATCGACATCTCTCGAGTCAACTTGATATCAAGAAGTGCATATGTCATTTCTCTAACATAAACTATAAATATTGGCGTGTAAGTTATTGTCATTGCTGAGATATATATTGACAGAATAGGCAATTAAAAATGTTAGTAAGGAGACAGCGACTACGCTACTAACCAAACAGGCTAGCTATAAACAGCATCACTTACTCCACTTTGTACTGGATATGCTTTAAAATTAAAATTTTAGAATACTGTAAATAGCAGATATCCAAGGGTCCAAATAAGACTTTACTTTCATGATTGAAATTTGATCGTAGTAATCTAGCTCTATTACGAATCATATTACTGTATTGGAAAGTGCAAATTTGTTAGCGCGCAAAACGTTGTAACCTGTTACTGTACAGTACTGTCAGTACGCGTACTATATACAGTACTGTAAGTACGCGTACTACTGTATATACTGTACAGTACTGTAGTTGAAATTTTTACTAGGAAAGCAAGTTGCAGTTTAGGATTAAAGGAGTCACTGGAATTTCTTTACATGAACTGTCAAAAATAAATTTAGCTGATTGAAGTAAGCAGCATGGATCCAGCAACGTTAGTAAAACATAAATTTAAGACTAGTACATTGCAAACTACTGTGGTATTCGGTAGCAAATAATAGGCATTGAAGAGTAGTGAACAAGAAATTTCGAATTTTTAAGCGGTCTTTCATACCGATTCGCTCAACTCGAGTAATTTCTCTCACTTCCTGTACTGATCCTGCAGTTGCTGCTGCCTGTAACATATCAAAGAAATATTATTAAAACGTTATATTATCAAAATGCAAGAGAATTATATTTAAACATAGTGAAAGATCTCCACTTTTGCAGACTAGAACATGGTAGTAACTCAGTAATCACTCACCGACGCCGCCATGCTTGACCGTTCCAACTACTGTAATGTAAGTACTGTGCTGTACACTAATCAATACGCATGCGCACATTTCAACAACACTACAGTAGTACAGTGCTGTGTCACCCTCAATTACAGTGTACAGTACAGTACGTCAGTACTGTAACCGTATCGTCACTGTACCGTTCCAGTGCAGTACTGTGGCACTAGAATTTTTTATTCGTCTGATACAACTGCCAATGGCTGTAGTTGCCACTTGCGAGTTGTGTGTGTAATGCCGCTGTACAGTACCTTACCCATACTATGAACTACTAACGGATGGACTGCGGCACGGACTACTGAGAGTAGGCCTTGCCTGACTCTGGTCTCTATCTCTGACCATACTACGCACTACAGTACAATAGCGATCGAGTCCATACTTTAGTACAAGTTATACAGTGTAGAACACGGCTGATCCTCTCATTTCGTGAACTTCTCCATGAAGACGTAAGACCTGCATGTATTACAACGTGACTTGTAAAATGGCGGAGCGACTAATACTTCTATAAAAAGTAATCAAAACATCAAGAGCCAATTGCTCAAGGTTGTACTGATCCGTCTGCAGGAAATTGGAGCCAAATTGAAACTACATTTCTTCAAAATTTGAGTACATAATTTAAGCCAACACTGTAGCTGAACATTAACATCTTTCAGCCATTTTAGAGGGCTCGTCACGTCCCTGTAATAGTGGTCTTATACTGCACGGTATACTGTACTGTAATGTAATAATAACTTCGGTACTTCAAGTAGATTATGTTTTTGTAAGCTTAAATTGACTAGAAAAGTCAAGTCTTTTCTTTTGCAAAGGCCACTTGGATAGTTTGTTTCTGACAGTAAAGCATGTATAATGGTCATGCTAAATGCCTAGCTGCAAAAGCCTTGCTTAACTGCATAGCTACAAACGTTCATGCAAATTTTATTTAAAAGCAATAGGTATGAAACTGGCCAGCCAATATACCGCTAATGGCTGCATTACCGACTTTGGCCGTAACCAGATATACAGAACTGTGCAGTACTTTACTGTACTCCACGATGATTAGACTGTGACACACCGCAGATTACAGTTTGCAGAAGCATGAGTTCTAAACTCGAGCTCGACACGGCATCGTATCCTGTATCCACTAATATATATCTACTGCAATTAGCTGAAATCATTCTACAGAAGCACTTTTCACATATTCCGGGAAGCAGGAGTGTTGATAAATTCTATTTTAGTTCATACTATAAAGGAAGCAAATATCTACCTATCTGTAAATAGCAGTAAAATAAATTCCAATAAAAACTAAATCAATCAATCAATACATGATTGCTTTTTGGATGCATGTACTGTACTTGGAACAGTTCAATTTAATTTACTGTTAATTAAATTAATTTATTTATTTAAAACTAAACGTAAATTTACCATAGCTTTATTACCCTTACAAGTGTAAAAATAAACTCTAACGAACCAGCTATTTTCTCAAATAAACACCTGCACTTGCTAAAACCGGCCATACGAATTAACTATTACAAGATGCTTAACCCATCCTACCATATAACACGTTTTAATAATAACCTCCATCTGTCACTCTTTGCCGTGTGTTTGGTCTTAACAAGTCATGCAGTAAATTTCCTGTCCTTAAAGATTCAGCTGTCATTATGATTCGATATATTGTAGCGCCACTTGGTGAATCCTCATTCAAAATAAATGAGCGGAGAATAAGCCTAAAATCATGACTACATAACCATAATTTGTTCTACTGAGCTAGTATAACTCCTTTCTTTTGTTTCTTCACTGTATAGAACAATACGCCTATACTGGATGTACAATAATTGTATATAGTAGTGTTGCCGGTGCAATAGATGAATATGCAATTACGTAGAATGTTAAACAGCTACAACTCGAAATGTCATTATAATTTTATAGATTCTGATATTCATGTAGTTCCGACCTATACTTTAGCATGTGTTAACTATTCCAAATGATCTAGAATGATTTGATTTTGACATTCGATCCTTCTCCTACTTCGTATTACATTATAGTATTATTTTTTATTGAATTTCTATTTTTTCTATCGCTACTGAACAAGTTATCGATCGATACGACGCTAGGGCTGCATTAAAGGCAAACCTTTAATGGCATAGAAACGTACATATTCGTATACTCGTATATGCGTATATCGTATGTATACCGGTATACGTGAGTATATTATTCAACTCGTTCCATCATACCAATATCGTACTCATCTGAATTCTAATTTACTATTTTGAGAATAGAACGTCATTTTTTTTTTTTGCGCAACTTTAACTAGAGTATTTAATATGATGTATTTTATGTTCTAAAAACAGTAACAACACATTTGGGCGTCATGAAATTATTTGCACTGCGTTGCAGCTTGCGGTGTAATATACTATATTATAGCCTATAATACTGTACATTATGGCCATTGCCAAACCTAAGGCCACTATCGTGATCATATGTTTCCGGTATTGTGGCGCCTTCCTATACAAATAATTAATAAAGCACAAGTTCTAGTCAACTACAGTACATGACCATGTACAAGGTTAAGTTCTGATTAAGTATGAATAATCATTTTCTCAATTCACTATTCAGTATGCAAAAGTGCAATGCACGTTTGATTGGCTTTTCAAATAATATTGATTGCATCACTCGATCACCACACCTATCTATTCCTGCTATATAAACCACGGTAGTAACCATCTGCTAGTGATCTACTTTTACTACTTTCTATATTTAATGCTATACGTACTGTACAGTACAGTATATCAAGAGTAAACAACTTTCTGTGACATGAAGCGGATCTACTCCGATGGCTGGTATGTAGCAGTAGAATACCTCTTTGCGTGACACTTTAGCCATGAACTCTGTTAATGTATAAATTTGTTTATTTCTGCTTCGTTCTTTTCCTCATAAGCAATTAATTAATCTCCTTTTTCTTACACGTACAGTACAATTGTGCAAATTTCCCGTTCAGGTTGTTTGTAACGTCCAGTCGTTTACACTGATATAAAATTTGTCCAAAAAAAAAAAAAAATTTAATCTATCTGTTTGCACCAAAATCATAGAAATTAGCCCGTCCACATTGTACTGTACTGTACTGTACTGTACTGAATGCAAAGGTACTGTACACTGTAGACTGTCCAGTATTGTACGTACGTACTGTACTGTACAGCTTTTAAAGGTCTTAATGGTCTGGTCTACTGTACAGTACTGTACTGTACTGGACTGGATGAGTAATACCTGGCCATTGTAAGATTGTAGACGCTGATTGGCCACCGACACTAGGTCGTGGTTCTCTATTGATTAATAGAATGAGTTGGACCTATTTATGCTGTCCTGTATGACTCATTGACAATCAATAATAATCAATGAATCATTTGTTGGTAGGGTTACCGTTAATATACATTCTCCACCAATCACAATGGATCATTTAAATTTTAAAAACCTGATTCATACCTCAGCCATTCCGCAGTTGTAAATCATTGAATTATCAACTTGACGGCAGTCTTGCTTATCATCGACATCGCAATATTCCATCGAAAATCGACTTAGATTGATTTCTACATCGATATTATCGCTACAAGGAGAAAATTCGTACCTAAGCTATTGATCAATTTGAAAACCGGGATAACATTCTTCTTGACCCATTTTGCACTTATCTTATGCTTTGCGATTGAAAGCATTTATGGTGAAAACATCACTACGTATGGTCTCAAGCATTGCATTAGTTGTGGATTGTTAAACGCATTATTGCTTCAAATTTTTCAACCATTTTTTTGACTTCAAATTAGTTTTTATTTTTTCTTTCTTTTTCTTGATTATGTCATCTATCATCAATATTGCTATCTATCATCCAGCAGATTATAAAAAGCATAAAGACTTATCAGCCAATTATCAAGTAATGTCACCACGGAAAAGACAACAAAGTAAAAAATTGAAAGTTGCCAACGATGGTATTGCTAAAAATTTCGATCAACAAGGGCAACAGCAACAGCATCAGCATCAGCATCAGCAGCAGCATCAGCAGCATCAGCATCAGCAGCAACAGCAGCAGCAACAACAACAACAACAACAGCAGCATCAGCAAATGCATGCAAATTATGAATCACCGAATGATTTAACGAGTTTAGGTTGGCTTCACTCACTTAATATCCCTAATAATAACTCTAATCCTACATGTGATCAGCAGCAGCAACAACAACAACAACTTCACCAAGCCATGCAACACCAACAACCATCTCCAGTAGATAATTGCCAAATGAATAATCCAGATTCCTACTTAGTATCTCATCCAGTATCGATAACAGCAGCAATGCAACAATCGATCATGACCAACGTTGCAGGCGTATCGACTAGTTCCATGCCCATGCAACCAATTATTGTCCATTCCGGTATGATCAATAATCGGCATCACCAAATTCAAATGGATCGATGTAGTCCAGCAGCGGCGATCGATAACGTTGTCACTACTCCCAAGAAAAATATGAATCCAAGTCCATCCAATATTACTGACGAAAACAACCCTTTAGGGCCAATCCAACAGCAAATATATGTCAATGACAACAATTGCAACAAGAATTGCATCACTAATGTACCAATTAAAGATGTCGATTCAATTGGACATAACAATGCCAATAAATCAAATATGGAACGTCCTTGGCCAAAACCAGTGTATTCCTATTCTTGCCTCATTTCGATGGCGTTGAAAAATAGCAATAGTGGAAAATTACCTGTCAGCGATATTTACAAGTATATCCAGTAAGTGATGATGTTCATGACCAATTCAACTCAAATTGTTTTACCCATTTCACATTGATGACATCGCGATAGAAAGTCAAGTATTACTTAAACAACCACCGCATAAGTACCAATAGTAATTATTACTACTGTGTCCTTAAACTGTATAAACTCTTAACATGAAAATTAGAAACCATGGCATGCTTTTATAGTACTGTAACCCAATATCTCCAATAACGAATTATCTCCATTTGCTATCTTACTTAACAGAGAGAACTTTCCATACTTTCTAACTGCACCTGATGGATGGAAGGTATGAGCTAATATAATCTATTGGTACCTAAATTATCTTCCACAAAAAGTATCAGCATGATGTTGATGATGTCTATTCTGATTGCTTTCGTTCAAAATTTGTAGAACTCCGTAAGACATAACTTATCTCTAAATAAAACATTTATGAAAAAAGAAAGGCCTGAAGGAACGTCACACAAAAAAGGCAGTCTATGGGCCATGTCACCCGATCGCCTCGAAATTATCGAGAAAGAAATAGATAAATTGCAAAAGAAGTACGCTGACGACATCCGAGCAAGCATGAAATACCCAGGTAAAAAATTATTTTGTAGTACCATAAAGCATACTTTCTACCAGTTAATAATTATTTTAACCGTAAACATATTATGGCTTGGATCTTATCATGGTTATTTCAATAATTACAGAGTTATTCGATTGTTTGTGGCAAAAGAGTGGCTCGAATAAAAGCATAGGAGAAAACAATGTTAAAATAAGTAAAGACCACGAGAGCGAGCATAAGAGAGGAATGAACAATAATAATAATAAAATTGGTGAAATGAAAGATATTAATTATGCCAACATACCTAGTTATGATATAATTTCAGAACACCATAATTATATCGGCGCAAGTCATAATGCAACCATGCCAGGCTCATTTAGTCACGATATTCAAGTCAGCAATAACTATAATATGTTCAAGACTGAATGTAGACCTTTGACGCCTAGCTTATATGCCATAGATAGCCAGCAAATGGTACCTGAAGTTGAAATGGATATACAAGATAACATGACAGCCGAAGAGGCAGCGCGCGAGCTTTTCGGACAAGATTTATTCCTTAGCTCAGCTTCACCACACAACGATTCCGATACCATTGCCACTGATGAAATTTATAATCAAATTGCAGCCGAAGAAAGTAAAACTGATTACCTTAATAACAGCCTAAATCGGTTAAATTCGGAATTGATAGCCCAGCTTAATAGTGACGACGACGATCTATGGATGGGAACTAGTACATTAGGAGATTTACAAGCAAAATAATGAACAATTCACAGCACAGACGGTCATATGAAATTCTTTTCAAAACAATGTTTAAATGTGTGTGTTATTCAATTGTAAGCGTATTCATTTGTATTCATAGGTAAATAAATTGAAGCTTATTCATATTAGTTAAATATCAAGTCATTTGTCTTTAAAGCTTCGAAGTTATGATTTTAAATGATGTGTCTATGACAGTGATGTAAGTAATTTGTTATCAGCTCATGTACTTTTAATAGAGACAATTTACGTATATGACGAAATATTGCAACGATTATCGATTGCAAGTACAATATCTTTGCAGTAGCTATTTTTTTTTCTATTTTAAAATTTGCTATCATATAGCATTAGTTCTCAAAGAAACCTTTTTATATATATTTAATTCGCCTGTTATCACATAAAAAAGTAGGTCAGGAATTACATTCCTTATTTTTCTTGTACCTAAAATAGAAAGTTAATCATCATATTCAATCTATTCCGTGACTGTAATTATTGTATCTGATCTCTTGTTGATTTTTCGTCCCTTTATAATATTGAAGATTGCTCTTACCAACTGATATCAAATATTGTATGCTATTATTTTTAACCGGTTTGCTTTCTGGCATTTGCAAATATTTATAAGCAGTAGTTTCTCCTTTTACGTATGTAGTACCACTATTAACTACAAGTATATCAAGTAATAATGCTATAATATAGGGAATTCTGAGGATGTATAGATACTGTACTTCTAGAAGAATAATAATATTATTATTTTTAGAATATAGCAAAAGAAGGTAAACGTATTTTCTTACACTAATATAAAAAGCAATGTTTAGATATTTTATTATATTTAAACACTAAATACGTATATCACCTCCATAGTGTAACATTAATACTATTTTTCTATTGAAAAAGTATTACTGTATAGTAAGATAGCTAATAAATTGTAAACTAGATTTTCTGATCCCATAGCTCAAAGTAGCAGCATTCATTTCGTGTTTTTTTTATACTGCTTTTAGTTTCTTGTATAATGAATAATTCATATGCATACGAAATAACCAATTTCGGATTTGCAACAATATAAACCAATCTTGTTATTTATACATGCTTTTTTATATGTACTATTACTTTTTACCTTTTCATCTATTATTTTATCACCTTGCAACTTGAAAGCAAATTATGGTCCCCTCCTTTTTCTCAATCTCTGTTCAACAAATGTAATAGAAATATTAGCACTTATATATATATATATATATTTAAAGCTACTATACACCAATCTGTCAAAACAACTTATTAAGTTGAAGTGCTAGCCCTCTTTGGGCAATTAATGATCATCAAGTTTTTGTCTATGATGCACAGGATATGAGTATTCACTGTATCGTATACGAAATAAATTCCAACACAGTATGTGTAATTTTAACAATATATAATCAAATTTGTATTCATTACTGTAAGATAGCTTTACTAAAATCACTTTAGACTGAAACATAGATAGTTAATTACAGTGCACAGCGCAATAACTTCATAAAAAGTAATTCTTCAAACATTGAGGAACTTACACGGCATGGTATTCTCGACCAAAGCAGAAATGTATTCCGTAAGGTATGTATTATTATTACTTTCGGATACAATTATATAATATTTGTGTTTATATACGAATTAGCTTTAGGTTACTTATACAAGTATCTTACAGTACGTCTTTATACCAACACACTTTGTAATGTCAGCAGGCAGAATATAAAACATTTGTTTATTAGGCGTGAGATTTTAAGACATTTATAGTATAAATAGTCGTTCGCAATTATTTTATCAATTATTATAATACGGCTTCCATATCATACTACGTATCGATTCTAGCAGTGTAACATGTTAAATTTTCAAGTATAAATTGCAATATTTAATAGACTAAAAGGAAATAATTTATCATTAACTTAAAATATTAATTTTTGCTAATCAAATTATGATAGTGGAGTATCTTATTTTGTTAAGTAGAAGGTCTGTATGAATAGGTAACTAATTACTATTTTGGTTATTTCTATAATTGTAGAATTATTGTTTAACACTAGCTTAGAAACCTCCTTGTATCCTTGGTTAAATTTCCTAAGGAAGTATTTTACCTACATACTAATGCAAGATTAATTAGAGTTCTTAGAAAGTTACTGTATGATCGTGTATTGCTAAAATGCATTAAAGAACTTTTATTTATAGATACGGTAACGACATAAATTATTGTCAATAAACTGTGCTTAATACTATTACAATACTGTCATGGTATCAAGTAAATAAAATTGATATTTCCTTGAAATGCATAAACGGTCAACTAATGGATTGATTGAACAGTATATCAGCATTAACGAGAAAGATCGCTTCAAAGAATCAAATCATACTATTATGTTTCAATAGATTATACAGCTATTGCTGAGAAATATTGTTCGTATTATTAATAAGCTCTCAATTTATAACTATTAGACCTAGTATTCCAATGTACATAAATTATCTTCAATATGATTGATTGGACTAAGTGGCATACTGATTAGTTTGGGACGATATAATATCTCCATCATCGCTAATATTTATGTATGTCTTTAATTTCCAAAATGAATGATTGATTAATTATAATTTATTAACATTGTATTAAAGCGTATTGCAAAAAGTACAATACCGAATATTAGGCCTATACTGTAAAACTGTATGCACTTGGATTGTCGAATCTGATGACAAATCAACGGCATACCATGTTACCTACTACCGTCAAGAATTAGATGGCTAAGTTTAGTAACTATAGTACTTTTATATGACGTACCATTGATGCTTACTGTAGGAATCACTATAGTTATAATTTTCACAATAAATTTTAGGACACGATACGCCAATATTTTCCATATATGTTACCTCCAGTTAACATTAAATTACGGTACAAACTAGAAGAGAAAGAAACTAACCAGATTCTATCAATCCCTCTAATTTAGCATTAATGATTGTAAAATCTCCTTCATTACCTTTAATCGATAAGCACAGTCAAAATAACTCTTATAGGTAATACGTTTATCAGTCTATATCTAACATAAAGTTTTATTTTTCCACGAATCTAATTCAATTTTTATACTTTCAATAATATTTACCAACAAAAGATTTTCTCAAACAACTGCAATATAAAATTTCTATTATAACCTAATTATCATGATTTTCAAATTACAATATAAGTGACAATTTAATGCATTACTCTATCATGCTTACATATTGCAAACATTTATCATTGTCAAGAATAAAATTGCCGAATATAACTTTAATTACATCATATTACAATCTAAGAGGATAACGTATCCACATTTTGCAGTAATCGTATGCTACCACATCAGATCTATATTCATGATCATAATCGCATGAATATTCGTCTAACATGAACAAAATTTCTTATAATTCTTAAGTGGATTAATATAAAGAGCCGCAATAATGATTTTTTCCTTTTATAATAGTCGGAAACTCTATTTTTTGTGTCAAGATAATATATATAGAATATAAAATTCTCTACGAATTGATCCATTATAATGACCAACTTTATATGTTTATTATTATTATCCATATAAGATGTGATATTTCGCAAGCATCAGTACTAATATCAATTAATTTATACTGTATAAGTATAAATCTGTCATTTCTTTTAATTTCATCTTCAAACAATTAGAAAGTTATTCATAATCTAATATTTTGTATAAATGAGTAATAACCCACTCGAAATGAAGTGCAGTGTAAATACCCATGTCGCAATTAAAAGTGTCGCAGCATAGGCGAAATTTTTAGCTGGAGAACAAATCTGTACGACCTGTAGATACTTAACGCTTGGCCGTTGTAGAATTTGATTTTTTCATTGTAGATGTTGTGCTAAATTAATGGATGTAAGGTAAACAAAATCGTTAGTACGCTTACAATTAGGTAACTATTTCATACATTACAATTCACTATTATTACTATAAATGAAATAGTGTTTTTTCCATTTTAATCAGAATTTTAAATTATGCATTTTTCGATCTGTCAAGTTCAACAGCAAATAACAATATCTCCCATCTTGATCTAAATAACGGCTTTACCTCTTAAGCGACTGCGTTGAAGATTTGCTCTTGGAGACACTGTTTCGAGAACCTTATTTTAGAATGCAGAGAAGAATTATAACTATAGCCTTAAACATGTAACACATATTCAATGACATTACTTTAAATCGTTTTGATATCTATATTACCTGGATATTTTGTACCAGTGCTGCTAGTCGATGAACCAGGACTATTAAGTGGTGGTGTACTATTACTTCTTTGCTTTCGAATTTCAGATTGAACGTTAGTAACTTGAAATTTACTTCGTGATTGAGCCGTAACAGAATCTTTTTGTGCAGGCGGTAATTTTACAGCTTGCGTCGATTTGTGATTGTGATTAATGGAAGATTGACTGCTAGAAGACACACCCAAGGCTAAATCAAAACGGAAGTCAAATATCATAACTTATCCATCTCGATTAAAACTTTTTAAAAATATTCAACACCATAATAATCCTAATCTTTCCCATCTATTCAATATCAAAACCTCTATGTAATAAATTTGAGTTCAAAAACTGCTTTCTATCTAATTTACTAGTTCTAATGATATTGCAGCCTTATCGAGATGCTGCATGCTACTACTAAATAGATATAAAAATATAATCAATAATAATGGAAAGAAACAAAACTATGGCTCCTATTTCCAAAATATATGTGGTATATGATATAACTTACTTGTAGGCCGACTTGAAATTGAAGAAGCTACTCCTATTGATGGCCGCTTCGTCGTATTATTTTCCTTTTTTAAGCTAATTTTTTCATTATCTAGTGTATACAAATAGTTGCCTATTAATACTTAAAGTTATAATGGAGAGCAAGAGCATGATTTTCTTATCTTCTGATGCAGCTGTCGATATTCAGTGTCGGCATCGACTACTACAAATGCAATTCATGTCATCCAAATTGAATTTAATATTTTAGTCGCTTACTATGTTTTTTACTCGAATTCGTTTTCTTTGGCTTGGTTGCTAATTTAACTTTTGCTTCTTCTTCCTTTTCCTATTGGTATAATTTAAAGTTTTAAATTAATTTGAATCTGATCATTGGACTTGTTATCATTACTACTAATTGTTAATTATAAGACCTCAGAGCAAGGTACTGGTAGATTATAAAACTTTGCTTCATGAATGTTAATTACTATAGCCGCCTTATTTATACAAGCAAGCTTATACTGGATCATTCAAATTTAAAGCATTATAAGGATTACTGGCAAACGTACTTGCAAAAGAATTCGTCTTTCTTCGTCTTCTTTCTCTTTATCCTTTACATTTTGCTTGACGTGTGATAGAGAGCTCGACTATAGCAAGAAGTGAAGATTTATAGGTATAAATTATGGATATAAAACTTTTTTCAATTGTTACTTTAACCAAAAAGACAATAAATTATTAAGAATTGATAGAGAATAAGATGCGTGAAATCTTCGATATACTCAGCAGAAAATCAGCTCGAGTTACGCTTTTAGCCTTTAATAATCGTTTTAATTACCATTTATAAAATTTTTTAGAGTAAACTTGTGAATTATTGAAATAATAAATATGTGAATATTAAAAGTAATTCACGATATGGCGTAGTATAAATATATATGATCTGTTAAATACTAAGAAAAAAGAATATTTAGAGTATTTTTAAGATTTATACGTGAATAACATGCGACAAATAAAACTTAAATATCAAATTATAACATAGAGTTTATTGATCAAGACTAGTAAAGTAGAAACAGTATAATATACTATAAATGAAGATCATTTCATTTCTGGTAAAACTTAAGCTCACTGTCTGTAAGGTAATTTGGACTTTATCCATTTCCGAAACAGCCTAAATATCGGGAATACAAAGATTGCACTTTAACTTTCTGATGCCATTTAAAATTAAATTATAACTAACGAGTACATAGGGCTATCACCTTCCGCAGCGATTCTGAAACATCTTTGTCACGTTCACTGGATAGCATTTTAAGTACACATGCTTCCAGCTGCTTCATAAGTACGTGATCAGTAGGAATTTTCATAATTGATTTTAAGCTAGCTAACATAGGGCAAATTTTCAATTTGACATTGGCAACAGGATCCTATATTGACATAAAGAATCATTAATATCGATGGTGTCAAAATTAAAATACAAAATTGCAATAAATGATACACGATTTTGCTTGTACAGTATCAACGTGATTGGCCACTAATTTAATGTACATTATTCCCACTTACGGACATTAATTGGAAGATAACATCGATAAAATTGTCCTTGAAATATTTTTGAGAAAAGACTTCCAAAACAATCTTAGAAATATCCACAAAGAGAGATCGATTCAAGTAGCTATCACTTTTTCCATAGTCTAGTCAATTAATATTAAAAAAAGATTCTCAAGTCAGGACTATGGTCTTGAACAGAATTACAGACATCATTGACATAGAGAATTCTTCATTTGCATTAAATTCTGCCTATAAGAAATTTAAAATTGCTTTACCATCAACTAATCGTTGACAAATTTCCTTCTTTTGATCAGCTTTAGTATTGTAGCGCAGAAATACGCAAAGAGTTCTTGCAGCGGCTAACTTAACTGGGATAACATACTAAAATTGTTGCAGAAGCAGTTTCAAACACAACATAGGTAAATAAATGCAGCAACCAGAAATATTTTAAATTGCGGTTTATCTGATTCATTTATCTTCAATTTACTATTTCATTACAATTGCTTAATCTACTATTAGATAATAGTTCAGTAGGTAGCCGACGCAATAATGTATAATATATTCATCAATCGGTTAATGAATGTTTATGATGGCATTTTGGTAATTTCAATAATTGGAATTGCACTTAGAATATACCAGAATTTATAGTGTATTCCTGGCAGATATAAATCATTTCATTTATATTCGTTTATTCTATCAATACTGAAAGTATTTATCAATTATCAATTTAATGCTATTTACTCTACCTGATTTTTTATAGGTTCTTTAATTTCATCATTAGATTGTTCTTTCCTTACTTTTTCTCTGGACTATTTATTAGATGAAATTAATACATTACAAACGAATTTAGAGAGCTTGTTCCTAAAAATTTTGACTAGTATATTGTACACTGCCATAAGTTACTGAATCAATATTTAATATGAAAGAAAGTGAACTCGAATAAACACTATATATATAGACTTACAGCAAAGCTTAATAGCTTGAACAGATGCGGAACAAATTGAGAAAAGATTTGTTCAGACGTTGCAATTTTACTTAGGCACTGATAACTTGTTAGTAATTCGCAATGAAGTCGCCATTTACAAGAAGCAATTACAGTTCGTTCACAGATAGATAGTGCCAAAAGTAGATTTGTTATGTTCTGTAACAATTTTCAAATTATATCGACCTTTCATTAGAAAATAGCTTTGTATATGAGATACATGTTGTCTCTCTGTTATATTCGTATTTATACCTTGTCAGTTGAATTTTTTACTACGCTTCTTATGCTTTGATCAAGGTAAGGAATGAGGCAACGTAATACCTATGGAAACAGAATTTAATTATGCAATGATTAAAATAGGTACTGTAGGCCTATCATAATTGATAGTAACGGTCTACTGCATTGCTAGACTGTGTGTCTATCTAATTATGTATTTGCTTTTATCGGAAAATGTCTGATATTTAAGCGGTAGTGCATTATTACCATTATGTTATTACTACAGTGTAATTCTGTAAGAAAAAGACCTGCTATAAGCTACGGGTCTTGAGAGCATGAAATAGTAAGATAACGGCATCAGCTAAGATAGGCTAGGTGGTGTTAACGATAGTGGAATTAAGTATACGGACCGGGAAGTAATGGTATCTAAAGGTTGAGATCTACGATAAGAGATTACAATCAAACCGGGCCTGGATTCCTGGACCTGGATAATGAAGCAGACTAGATGCAGAAGCTAATTGAAGAAGATTATCACAAGGAAAGATTGTGTTTTACAAGGAATTGACAAGAAAGTGCACTCCATAAGCGTGTTTGTGAACATATACTCGGAAAGGACTGTAAAGGCCAGAGCCATTGAGGGAAAAGACAGCCTGCGAAAGCTACGCAGTAAAATAGGTCATATAAGTCATGCTACAGTATTTCAGCGATAAATTTATACGTAATAAACTATTTCGTCTAGTACAGGTTAGAGTAAACTTATTGTGATAATAGTGGCTATAAAGGAGTTGTTTTATTACGATGTCATACGAATATGTTTACTAAAATGTAGATCTTTGTCATACAATTCAATTAAGGATCAAAGACAAATGCAGTATACGCATTGAATGTCACTTTGTAAAAGCATTAATTTATATTGTCTGTAATTGCATTTATATCTGATTAGCGAGATTAGAAGATTAACAAAATTAGCAAGGGTTATAGCACCCGTTATATTTTGCCGACATCTTATTATGTTAATGTTAATGCCGAAAATAGTAAACTAATTCTCTGATTTTATTGATTGGATGATTTAATAGGCAACACTGTAACATGCAGCACGACAGCAAATGTATCCTCACCATAGGTTATAAGCATGGTTAATATTTCAATATTTAATTAAAGAACAGTATTAGTAAGGAATAGTTGCCGTAACTTAAATGTTAATATTCAAACTACAGCAGCTAATACAAAAAATTAATTCTAATCCTGGAACACTACATACAACTCGATTACATCTAATCTGAAGCTTAGCTTATCGGCAATTACAGCAAAATAAACTGAGTTGTTCACCGTAACATTTGACTATAAGAACATCATATGTCTTACGTAAAGATTAGCTGGCTTTGTAGATTTTTATATTGATTTGCGATAGCAGTATACTCAATAAAAGCACACAGAAAGGAAAGTATACTGTAGCAGCAGATGGATAATATATCGTCTTGGAGATCATTGATAATCCTCCTTCAATCAATTACAAACTATACCTCAGTGTCCTGGTCTTGTAATAACTCTACCAAATTATAATAAAGTGATGATGCTTCATCTTCTAATATCTTGGCAACCTAAATTTAGGCATAATGTTGTCTTATTAGCGTGGATGACTCTCATGAAAGATTAAAAACTAATTCACTACCTCGTGAAAGCTGCATGCAATCGTCTTTCTGACAGTTGAGCACGGATCGGAACAAAATTGCTTCAAAATTTTAGCTAAATTAGATTGAAACGCCGCAGCATTGACAAATACAGTCAGGGCCTGAATAACAGATATTAATGGCATTAATCGCAAGGAAAATTAATAAATATTAAGCTATTTTAGTATCATTGAGAATAGAACGATATCATCTCATTAAGCCTACGGTATTTCAATCTAATTAATATATATGCGTTTCGAGACTTACTGGAAAATTATAAGCACAGTTGATTCTACAGTCTTGGCTGACACCATGTGAGGTTTGCTTCAAAGTATTTGAATTTAATAAAGAGTTTGATACTGGAGTTTTTACTTTATCGGATGGCCCAAGACCTAATGTTGACATCTTAGCATAAAACGACTTCAACCATTCTTTTTCATCTTTAGTTAGATTTGCTAGGCGAAATTTGAATAAAACAATAAAATGAACGATCTTATATTTAGCAATAAAGTCTATCATAATTAAAGCTTGAACTTATTATCCTACTCTAGCATATGCAAGGCAAAAAATGTAAACATTATTTCAATTTTACAGATGCTACTAATGATAAACGTTCTTTGTCAATTAATTGTAAGTACTTAAACTGTATCGTACATATAATGAGATCATAACTGCAATAGGAAATAATTTAATATAATGACCGTTCCCTTCATGATACTTCCGTAATCTGTTAATGTAGCATCTATATTATCGTTGTCAATTACTCAAATTAGCCAAAGCGTAACGTATGTAAAATAATCGATTACAAGGCACACTGGCGTTTTAAGTTCACCAATGCAATGTGTAGTATCTTCTTCTACTGTATGATGTATTAACTTTAAAGTCGCTAATTTAGCCGTCTGGAAAATAATTTTCAGAAATTTTATAGGATATGTCTTTACTCATAAGAAAATAGTATCCTTGACTTTTACGTATTTGCTACAAGATGGTGATAAAACTTGATAAAAACTTACCATCCAATCCTATGCAAAGTTTACCATAACATCTTGAAATTACTGTTAATGAATTATCTTGTTTATCAACTGCTAACTCGCATAAATGTTTTATAGTAGGATAAATTTTTTCCTTGGTTGCTGGTATAGAGGATAAAGACAAAATAATTATAATTAAAAATTTTACTACAAATTTAATTCGCTCTGTATTTTAAGATTAACTAACAGTTATTATAAACATAATGCAAAAGCTATCAAAAAACTCAGAAATATGTATCATCGAAATAAATTAAGGTTCCTTTCATGACAGTTCAAAATATCTGCGAAACTCTGATCACAATAGCTAAATGAGTAGCTAACGCAAATCATTTCTATAGATGAGATAGAAAGTGAATATCAAGGAATAACTGCAATTTATTATAATTAGGGAGATGATTTAACGTCATATTGAAAGAAATACAAATGGAGCAATAGCGAATAAAATTTTAGATGTATTACTAAAAGTAAGAAGTTGTAATATAAGATTATCGACTAATATGTATAAATACCTGCATCTTGAGGATCTACAGCTTCCGCTATGCAAGCTAAGCTTGCTATTCTCACGCTGCTTTCTTCATCATTTAGTAGTTCAATTAATTCGGGTAGGATAAATCGCTTAATATCTGCTGTGCTATAATGACATTGTCGTAAGAGAATAAAAGAAGACTGTTCTCATAGCTAAAAACATTGTTACTTTGAAATTATAAAATGCTGCCCGCAGTAGAAACGAATGTGTTTTCTATATATCTTTGGTATATTGCAAATCATAGTGCCAAGAATGTATAACAGATGATTACTCAATTTTATATATTAAAATAGCTTAAATCAAATGTTAAGTTATCTAATCATGGGCTTACTTTAATGATTGAATAATTGGAGGTAAATTAGCACACATTCTTCCGCGTACTTCATAATCTACGTCTTGACATAAACTTTTTACTATAGGGATTATATTTTTATTGATCCTAGGAATTGGAACGTTTTGCATGGAATTAATAGCATATTAAAATAGCAAATAATAATGTGAATTGATTATATCAAATTCGAAGATCGACTAATATTTGAGCTGTTTAGTTACCATTCTGAATCAAATCGTCGAGCTAAGCTACCGGATAATAAGCAACTGGATAGCCGCGAAGCTACCGATTGGGAAAGCTTTGCTTTATCAATAAGCATGGGTAAAACCTAAATACAGATGTAGAACAAATACTTAGGCTAGAAACTGCTAATGAAATTATTTAAAAGAGACATAGTTGTGCTCTTAATTAGATATTTCCATAATTTCTTTGCTTTCATTTCAGTTTACCCTTTCCTGGAGTTGATGGCGAGGAATGATGGTTATACTAAAAACTAAGTTATCAAACCATATGCTAGCAACACCTATAGGATGTTATAACAGAGATATAAATAAGAATTTCTCATCCTAAAAATTTCAGTACTCTACTCTAATCTACAATGCAAGTCTATAAATTGAGCTGATAGTTTATAGGATTATATAACTAAATATTTAGTTTACTTACTGCTATCTTTGTGATCAGTATTAGCTTGAATAATAGGAAAGAAATGTTGAGCAAATGTATCTGCGTTAACTATGCCTAAACGACCAATACTTTGAAAGACAGATGATGCTAACGTATGAACATGATTTGGCTCAAGTGGTAAAATTTCCTGTAAAAGTGGGTCATAATACCAATTAATGCGTACAATTTTGTTGCGATATTATCAATTAAGATATACGCAGATGTTGATATATTAATAAATTTAATCTTAAGAGGTTAAAGCTACAATATTTTGTAGATTTAGCATAAATTTCTTACGTATATACATAAGATATAGACATTAGTTTAACTGTGAAACTATCAATAAGTACCATATTCGTTGTCACATTAATCCATGGCAGTATGATGGTACTAAACTAGCAACTTACTTGAAGCTTCGGCACTATGCATTTTAAAGTTTCCTTTTGATGGCATTTTAGCAGCTTTATTAAAGTATTGATGACGCTTTCACGTTGAATATCTTGGTTGGAACTATTTATATCAAATAGAAAAATTCTCGTTACATATAAATTAAAATGTAAAATAATATAGTTTTTATCGTTTGGTTTCGCTTAACTCTATATTGATTCTGTTACTATGTTAGATAACCTTTTCGTTATGGAAAATCACGTCAAAATTATTGGTAATTAGACTTTAACATTCAGTAACACGAAACGATATGCAAGAATTGTAATTAATGCATGGATCGTCTAATATAGCTTTAGCAGTTCAAATATTGTGAAGAATTAAAATATTAATATTGCTGATAATGTATAATTTGTATAGACTATGGCTACAATTTTAGACAGAACTTGGCGAGGAAATGTTACAGTTTTCCCGATTTTTACATTAATTTTAAGTCACTATAAAATCTGATCGCTTTTCAAGCTGCTATGCGATGGGTCAAGAATAGTTATTCATTAATGCAATGATTACTCATCAGACGATCTTTCTCTAATTCTTTATCTATGATATAAAGCAGATATATCTGGTATATCGTCTAAAGTATGGTCTAAATTTTTGGAAAAGATAGGATTACAGTAATATACAAATGGCAACTCCCTTTGTTAGCCCTATCCCGAAGCTTTTACAATCACAGTCGTCAGTGAAAAACAAAAAATTCAATGACAACTTGAATTCATTTTTTAAATCTAAAGAGCTTTTCTAACAAACAATGGCAAGGATCAAAGTTGACGACAAGAAACAATCCAATTCGTAATTTGCAATTGTAAAGAGTGGACAGCTTCTATACGACAGAAACATAAATGACGGATTTAACAGGTACTAAACGATTAAGGATGCCATTTTAAACTCCGGGTTAACAATAGCAGCCCCCAAAATAAAACAATTGGCATCAATTGATTTGATTACTGAATAGTAGGAGAGTTTTTGGAGTAGACTATTGAAATAGATATAAAGCCTAGCCAAACTGAAAGAATACACTAGCAGTAAATAGAACTTTAATCTTTATTCCACACTTATTTATCTATCGCAACGAGTCAGAATAATTAATTCGAGAATATCCTCTAAAACTGCTTCATGGTTTTACATAAAGGAAAAGGAACGATCTCTGTCTAGTGCCTAATGGTTAAAATATTTTCCGTGTTAAAGGAACATAGAGATTATGATATACGAGTGCTTCATCATCCAATTTTGTGATGAAATTGGCTATAGTACAGTCCTATCACTATTCGAGACACATGGCTATAACTCATTCATGTGGATAGTCTAAACTTCTCCAATGAATCTTAGCATCGCATTACCTTCCGCGCTCGTCTTTATAAGGACAATTTAAATTTAGAACTTATCAATTAAAGACTTGATGATCCTTCAAATCGAGTAAAAGCAGTCTAGCAGATAGTCTATCAGCTTTTTAATTAAATTTCTAAAACTCAATCAAAGTCCTTTAATAACAGCGATAATTTAAATCTTGGTAGTTTTCCTTCAAATGGCTACTCAGGCATTAAACAAAATAACAGAATGTACAGAATTACGGCTTATATATCAGTAGTATAGTAAATCATTTTCGATATCAATTTATTAATAAAATTGCAGTAATTTAGCATCAATAAGACATAGGCATGAGGACAAACTACTATCATTTTGATCATCATCCTCTATGACGATAGAGGCTCTGTCATATCACTATTCGAAACCCATCGCGTAGTGAGTTAAATTCCCTACATAATTTTACTATCGTAAGTCGTATATTCCACGATTACACTTCACAGGTGCAATTGGAATCAAGGGGCTATCGAATAAGGCCTAGATGATTCTTCAAATAGAGAAGAATCAATCCAACATATTATGTGTCCTTTTTCGTTTATTATTTTTATATGTTTATAAAGGTACTTCCGTTACAGTGATAAATTAAACCTTGATAGTTTTCTTCTAGGTGGATTTTGGGATATCTAATGAATCATTAGATTATAGATGCTCACTACGCCAATACTAAAAGTACATCACTTTCCTTGCTAACTTACCGATAAATAGGGTCAATAATGGATATATCGGTTGCAATTTTTCCGTAAAGTAATGTTTATTAAATAACAATAAGGACGAGCGCTTAAAAACTTATTTCTATACCATAATGAGAGTCGATCAAAGCTGTCACTGTTCTTTCAGGTCGCAAAGACATCATTTACTTTGATTTGTCAATATACATAATTTCTGCTGTAAAGTTGAGTTTTAGCTACATCGGACACTGTATTCCCTTTCATGACCTAATCCAACTAAAAGTTTAGTTATTAATTCGCCGATGCTACCATGATAAAATAATACTATAGCTGTCGTGCCAATACATTCGACTTAATATGTCGAAAGGTAAGTGTGACTATGCTATTGAAACTTTCCATTCTATCAAACATCTATTACAAAAAACGGATCAGGAATCTGAATTGCAGTTTCAGGAAGGGCTCCAGAGTTGACAATTAGGCAGCCATTGGAGACAGTAAAGAATAAAGCTGCAGTGTCAATTTCCCTTTGTGGTGATGAAATGGCCATATTGTATCATTTCAAGTTAATTGCCCATAAAAGTTGAAGTCAACCATGTGAACAATCTTGTATCCAAAATTATAATTCAATTTATTAAAATATTCTCCGAATTCTTTACAATCGAATTGCACTCGAGATAAACCCTCATGTTTTACTCGTGCAAATATTGATAGGATCATAATAATCTTGAGATCGAAAGATTGTTCTCACTGTGTCAAAATTTATTAATCAGAATTTATACGACTGTATAGGCCTAAAATAGATCTTATTTATAGAATAGATGGTAAGAATGTACAAGTATTTATCACTATAAAGAGGGAATTCGAATCAGAATTGGGCAATGCTTCTATTTCATTATTCTTGAAGATACTTTATTCCAAACATCGTCGATGGAATAAACTATTTACCGTTCTTAATTATAAAATTTCTCATTGCGTAAAGACACTCATGTAATAGCCTATCGTACCACAAAATCAGAATACTGACAATTACTTGATCTAATTTTGGCTATAAAAGCTCTTAAGAAATGCTATTGAGCGCTGCTACAAAATTCGGATATGTAGAGCCGTGAGTTTAGTACTTGAGTTAAATTCTTAATTAAGTATGGAATTACTAATATGCACTACCGTAGGCTGTAATACTTGCGTAGTTTAACGAGATTAGTTGCTCGCGACCCGGCAAAATATAGTAATTCAGTGCCCGTGCTTAGCGCGTGGAAGCGTAATAATTTTACTACCATTACTAAATAGATCATGCGCTAGGATTTATAAGCCAATGCAATGAGTAAATCGAGAGTCTTCTTGTTCATAGTCTGTTGTAAATACAGTTACGGTTGGATTTATGGTAATAAAGCTTAATTCGAGTTTTAAATCCACTTAGTTTGATATAGTGAAGACCCTAGAGAATTGACTTTACTACAGGATATTATTAAGGTCACATCTGAATTTGTCTATGCTCTATAGTTACTTCATTTTGTAGTCGTAGGATAATCTTTTGAAGATAATATTCCATCAATTAAAGACCGGAATAAACTACGAGTACATAGAGGAATGATTAAGATGCTCTACTGGGTCGTTATGGAATGAAAGTAAATATGGGTACCAACTACGAGGACTTTGTAATACAGTGGTGACAACTAAGGTTGGTGTGCTTCACACTATGGTATTTCCCCAGTAGCAAATGGATCTATTTCACCCATTAGTTAGTATAATTTAAATTAGAGCGTAACATTAGCACGAAGCGGAGAGCCTACAATGAGGTAATAACTTGAAAAATAGTTATTGCGGCAACCTCAAAAGATGAGAAATTTCAGTTAAACTACCGTATATAGTTATTGATGAAACGAGTAAGGCTATAAGTTAACGAAATTAAACAGATTCATAACCTTTAATAGCGTACATATGCTGAAAAAGTAGAGCTATCTTCAATAAATATTCTCGCTACTAGGATTATGGCTAAAGCAGTGAAATAGAATATCGATACTTAAATTATCTGGGCTTTAAGTAGATCGATTGATCTTGCATTATGAATAATAAAGTATTTAATCCGTTTCTACTATTTCTAAAGTCAGTGAAATAGAAAATCGATTTCTAAAGTATCGGATTTTTGAGTGGATCGATCACCTTGCATTAAGACTAATAAAAGCAATTAATCCATTTCTACTATTATTAAAATTAAAGAAATGGAATATCGATTCTTAAATTATCTTGGCTTTGGGTAGATCGATTAATCTTGCATTATGACAAAAAGCGTTTAATCCATTTCAGCCATGACTAAAATTAGTGAAATGAAAAATCGATTCCTAAATTATCTTGGCTTTAGGTAGATCGATTAATCTTACGTTATGAATATTAAAGCGTTTAGTCAATTTCTACTACTAGTAAAATCATTGATCAATAATTGGAACATAAACTCCACCTACTGCTAGCCTGTTTTAATTTTTAAACTTAATCAAAATATGGTGTTGTACTCGCAAATAATAAAATTTAATCCGTCCATTGAAGATTATCGTTGAATTAATGAGTCGTGATATCTAATCTATCAAGCATGCTGCAATTTTCTACATCTGAACACTGAATAATTTCATGGTTCAAAAGGGCTCCAATACGAGGAAAACATAAACTGATTTGCAGCTAGTCCCCACATCTTAATATCCCAAACAACAGTTATGTGAATCTAGTTACTAATGGATGGCTCTAAAAATATTGCTGGCGAACTCTTTTGAGGCCATTTGAAATAATAGCCTGGATATACCTTGTGCTAATAGTCTGTAATAGAGATTACTCGTGATCGAGAGTTTAAAAATGTTTCAAAATTATTTTACAATTGCCAAGTAAACTAAATGCCATTTCAAATTAAGATCCAGCTATTACAAAGTCATATACCATGATAGAGTTGGTTACAATCATGTTATGACTTATGCAAATGAAAAAGATGGAGAA